CTGAGTATGCTCGACTAGAAAATACCTTATTGCCATGACCTAATTTAAGATGAATCAAAAGAGTTAAAAAGAATAAGACCCATTTCTATTTTTATTGGCTATGTTTAAGTATTTTATAGAATTATATGTAGAGTATATTCAAGTCGTTTAATTTTAACTTTATCAAACCCACACCGTGACCAATTAAAAGAAAATTCGCTGCCAATGAGATTGTGGTAAAAAAAGTGGAGGTAATCTTTTTTCTTTAATAATGTTTGGAGCTTGGAAAACGTTTGTAATCACTTTTAAATGATGTTATATAGTGTCGGCAATTTTGGACTTCCTATTGTCCAACTCTAGTGTTACTCAAAATGATCGCGTGCTCAAAGATAGCATAAAATAATTTATCGGAGATCTCTTTGAGGGCTTCTAATTGAATGAATAGTTTTGTACTATACAACCTTTTGTTAGATTAACTTAATTTACCTTTTTATTAAATCCTTGGCGTTGCGAGAATAGCTCATGGGTTCTTCTTTCACTTAAGATGATATCTGCTATTTGATATATATGCACATTGGAGTTCCTAGGAAAATTTGATATCTATATATAATTCTTATAAACGTAATTATTTGTGTTGTATAGCATACACGAATTTTTTAGTTAGGATTGAGTCTAGATAATAAAGCCTCGTTGTTCATCCAGGTAGTTGTTTATGTGCATACAACGAAATGCTTTTAAGCACATAATATCTTTATACGTTCATTAGGGTCACATTTTGAGTATTTTGTCAGGCTTAATTACGTTCTCATACCTTTCTCTCCCTTCGTTTAACCTAGTTGACACTGAGGAAAATAAAACTAGGAGCTCCATATCATAATGATACCCTTTAAAGAAGCAAATTCTATACTGATCACATGCTTGGCTATATGAGGCATATCAGGAATAGATTCTTCCACCACTTTACAAAAATTAATTAAATTAAAAACATAAAGCTTTACCTACAGGGTATCAGCCAGTGCAGCACTCTCGACAAGCGTACTATTTTGATTAATGTTAGAGTGTTAGAATTAAGTTGTCGACACTTAGTTTTAATGCCAGCATATTATCTTAGGATATTGTTGATCCCTAACATTTGTCAAAGTCAAAGTTGTTGTACAAAATGTTTGACTTGGGCTTCTGGCTTGGCGGACACGTGCGTAGACTTATTGCCAATACTGTGCTGTGGCCCCGCTTAATGTTTAGTCTAAAATTCCTTTTGCCATCAACAGAATAATTATATGTTCATATCATTTCGGGTGGTAGAATCACGAGCATTACCCGCTCCATTACATGTTTTAAATAGCTTGTTGTGACCGTTGGCCACGCTTATACATATATATATATATATATATATATGTATATATACAGGTGTGTGTGTGTGTGAGTGTGTGTGTGTCTGCATGTGTGTGTGTGCATACATAGTATATACCAATTCTATCTATAAAATGTCGAGTCGTTGGGGGATTTTATTTTAAATACGACTGTGAAGTCGCAGCAACCGGTGGGTAATAATAAAATCTAGTAAAACTGTGCTTTAATTTGTTGCAAAAAATATAATAAATCAATTAAAAGAAAATTAAATTTAACATATGACTCTTTTGCAGCAACATGTTTCGAATACGTAGCCTATTGATTGTGATATTCACCTGCCAGGCCCTGGGTGCGGACATTTTAATGGCCACCATGGGAGGCACAAAGTCGCACAAGATTCCATTTTGGGAGCTAGCCAAAGGATTGATAAGCAGGTGTGTATTGTGAATGTGTTTGCACAGACACCATAATTGTTTGGGCAGAGAAAGGTTATTATCCTTTAATGTTCCATTTGCTTTAAAAATTGGTTCATAAAACGCGCATTTCATGATTTTCGAACCCTAAAAAATGACCAAGATAATCAAAGTTCACATTGTGAGAGCGCAAAGCAAAGCAAATAATTTTAGACTATTTGCTTTGGTTTCTGAAATTTTAGCCCCAATATTGATGTGGAAAGACTTACGTATGGTTACCCACTGCAGTAAATATAAATGTCCATATGATTATATAAAACAATTTATTGGCCCTGAAAGCCATAACATTTAAATTTAAACAACGTTTTTAAACAAAATGCTTAATTGATATGATTTCTTTGTCGGAAATAACTCTCATAAAGTGATAAAAATATTTTAGAAAGTTTAGAATATCATTAACAGCGCCCAAAAGTAGCTTACTAGGTTGTAATTAAAACGAGCATTTTGCCATTTACGTAATAAATATATAAATTATATATATATAAAAACAAATGAAGAAGATTGATTAAGAAATTCATACATAATATGTATCTGTAATAATGTTTTACGTTTATGTCTCCTAACTTCATTGCCGAGAATAAAAAGAAAATGTATTTAAAATTCGTTCATTAAAAAAATAAACTTAACTTAAATTGATTTTCTTACCCTAACAGAGGGAATTTGATTAAGTATTTCACGAGCTTGTAGAGTTATAGAGTATATATATTTTTCCGTCTTATTGTTGCAGGCCTACCATAATTTGATTTATAGCTTTTTAATATATCTCGCACTTAAGAATCTCTATTCAATTTGGAAGACTATCATAAGGAATTTTAAAGAAATAAAATAGTCTACGATCCTAATTAACCAATTTGTACCTTTGTATTTTTCAGAGGACACAACATCACTTTCCTAAGTGGATTTCCAGCAGATTTTCATATCGATGGTCTGCATGAGATAACACCAGCCAGTCTGGTTGAGTACATACAGAACTACACAAACTGGGATCTATTGGGTTCCAGAATGAATGGCGAAATGCCAATCAAGCCCTGGGATGGATTACGCTACGCATTTGAGGTGAGCATCAAAGTCTTAGCTCTTCGAGCATCGCGTGTTTGCTTATTTTTACCTCTTTGGTTTTTTGTAGTCATGCGATGCTATGTTGGGTGATCAGGAAACCAAAGATCTAGCGAATCGCACCTTTGACCTGGCCATACTCGACGGCGCATTTCCCGAGTGCTTGCAGGGACTCACGCACCTGCATGAGATACCGTTTATGTACATAAACACCGTTGGGTTCTACACTGGCAGCTTATCTCTTGCCGGCAATCCCGTGAGCTATGCGATAACTCCGAACTTTTACTCCCGCTTCACGGACAACATGAGCCTCTACGAGCGAGCGCTGAATACGGGAATGCAAATCGGTCAGAATATTTTGCACAGTGTAAGTTTAGCCCTGTATTGGACTTTCCTTTAATTGTCTGTCTTAAAAACGTATCTGCCCACAGTATGTCATGCGCCGTACACATCGTGTTCTGCGAGATCACCTGGGTGCGCATATACCCCATCCGTACGACATGACTCGCAACGTGAGCTTCATACTGCAGAATGGACATGCTGTCGTCTCGTATCCCCGGGCGCTGAATCCGAATGTTGCGGAAGTAGCTTGCATCCACTGCAAGCCTGCACGACCGTTGCCCAAGGATTTGGATGATTTCATTTCGGGCTCGGGTGCGTCGGGCTTCATCTATGTATCGATGGGCTCGTCTGTGAAGGCGGCCAATATGCCAGAGTCACTGCGCCGTATGCTGGTCAAGACATTCGCCCGCCTGCCCTACAATGTGCTGTGGAAGTACGAGGGCAACGCAGCGGATATGCATGATCTGACACCAAATGTGAAGCTGTCCCGCTGGCTGCCCCAGCAGGACATCCTGGGCCACAGCCAGCTGCGCGCCTTCATCACGCACGGCGGTCTGCTGAGCATGTTCGAAACGGTTTACCATGGTGTGCCGGTGGTCACAATGCCCGTGTTCTGTGATCATGACGTTAACTCAGCCAAGGCGGAGGTCGATGGCTACGCTATCAAACTGGACCTGGAAACGCTGTCCACCAACCAGCTGTACAAAGCCATCATGAAAGTCATCCACGATCCACGCTACAGAAATGCAGCCAGATATCGCCAGAATCTGTTGCTGGATCAGCGCTCCACAGCCCTGGAGACAGCCATTTACTGGACTGAGTACGTGCTGCGACACAATGGGGCCTACCATCTGCAGACCCCAGCGCGAAACATGGGGTAAATTCTAAAATACGCCTAGGTATAAAAGACTCATTTCCCTTCTTCTTTTTTAAGCTGGTGGCAATACTATCTGCTGGATGTGGTGGCCGTCTATCTATTGACCATCTGCGCTCTGGTGTTCATTGTAAAGCGCCTCGATATTCGGTCTGAGAAAATGCGCAGCCAGCACTATTCCAACTTACTTCCAGCAACCAAAAAGAAATCAAAAAAGTTATAATTCCAGCACACGCAACTAATGTTCACCCACAATCCATTATGTCTTAGAAAACGCTAGAATTACGGCTTGACAAATAATATTGTTAAAAAAAAGGAACTTTCGAAATAAGACAGACCTCACGTAAACGTATACAGCTAGGGTATAATAACGGCATCTCTCCGAATCAATCTTAGAAAGATAGAAAACCTTCCATTAGACAATTGGCAAGTTAGCTTTTAAATCGATCTATTGTACAAAATTAGAGTCCGATACTTTCTCATTGGTAGGCAATTATTATTTGTCATCCGTTTAAGTTCTTTTCGCTCTATTGGAAGAAGTGCCTTGTACATATTGTTTATATTTATAATGTTAAATTTAAGTAGTTGCTTAACCATACAAAAATTTCGAATATCCTAAAATTGTTGTGTAAAATTTATAAGTGCGGAAAATTTAAACCAAAGTCTAATAATCATTTCCTTTCAATTTTATTGTTAAAGCACACCGTGGAAAGTTGGAGTAAAATAAAGTTTAATCTATATTGTTAAATTGTGTGAAAGCGAAACTAAACGAACATCAAGAAATCTCAAGAGGGAAAATAACACAGCTATAAGTATCAAATGTAATGCTCGATTTAAGTTATACGCAGATCTATTTAACACTAACTGGATATAGGGCGCCTACTTGTTGATCAGAGCAATATTTCTTTTCAACATCCGGCTCACGTATTAATAAACGCCGAAACAAGGTGCGGAGGAGCCTTCTTGATTATGGGACTAAAGCTTTTGACAAAGTGGTAAGCCGCTCTTGATCTTTTGATTTGATACTATAAACAAAAACTTGTAGTATAGAGCAGCTACTAATTATGTATTTCCTACCTGTCCCTTTCACTTCTTTTAACTTAATGTTATTTTGCCATCCTTTAGTCAGGCTTCTGAGACAAGAATCAAGTTAAAGCTTCAAGAAGAGCTGCTTTCAACATTTTGGTTAACAAAACCCTCAACAAAGCTCCATTGATTACGCCAGCAAATTGTCAGTTGACATAAATATATTGTTCGCTTTGATAAATCGCAGCTTAATGTAGACAGTTACGCTTAGTTAGTTAGTTTGCTGAACTAGTTTGGCCATCATCTTCTCCTCTTTGACCTTTCGCTTGGCCTCCTTTTGCTTTCGCTTGTCCTCCTTCTCCTTCTGCTCAAGCATTTCCTTGAAGCGTTCATCACGTGTATCCACCTTGAAGCCGAAATGCCGGCGTACCTCCTCTATCAGTCGTTCCTTGCGTTGGATTGCTGCCGCGGCATCTGCTTTACGCTTTGCCACTTTTGCGTTGAGGTCCGCCTTCCATTGCTCCAGTTTTTCTAGCTTCTTGAGAATGGCATCTTCGCGATCTTTTATTGCCGCCTGCTTCGCGGCCTTAGTAATGCGAAGTTTCTCCAATATTTCCGGCAGAGTTTCGGGTTGCGTAATGGCTTGGCGCTCTTGGGCTTTAGTTCGTTCGGCGAGTGTGCCGAAGCAAATTTGCGGATTTACTTTACTTTTGCTGCCATATCGGCCATAGAGGCTTCTCTGATACTTCTCAGTTAAATGTATCCAGGAGTGTGCCTCATTATATGGCATTGTTTCGAGAAGCACATTTTTGTGTTGTGGCCTCAAGCCAGATTTGTCCCGCTCGGGCACATATTCCACATCGTCCTTTACAAAAGATGCCGGCAGTTCGGCTTTTGCAATGCCGCTAAAATATTTCGAATGTTTTATTGAAATCCCAGTAGTAACTCTTAATTTGTGGAAATTCATCTTAAACAAGTTTAATTTGTAATATTAGTAAACATATCGATTTATCGACAAGCACTACTGATGACAGTGTGACCAAAGTAAATTATTTTTTGAAAAATCGGGCGTTCCCACTCCAAGCATTATTATTTATTGATAAGACGAGCCAAAATCTGCATTCAAAATACTTCGAGAATTAATAAAAACTTTATTCTCAAGCCAAATTATTATACTACTTATAAGTTGCTATTTATAATACAGCGTGCTATAGCAAGGTCCTGATATGAATCAATTTCTAGACCATCTTCAGCTGCAATTTCAACAACATCGCACCTAGTATTAAAAAAGAAAACGGGAAGCATTTCCATTTCCATTTTAAATTTTATTAATACATATAAAGTATGAAACTTACTTTTCATTCTGTAAAAGTCCTTCCATGGCCAATTTTCTTGTTGAAAAATAAAACATTCCTGCTTCTACCATATCACCTTTCCAGTCTTGCCGCCTGGGTCTGGCTTTCAAATTGAAATTATCAGGCAAAATTTGTTCCTCAACATATTTCCAGCGCAAATTATGGGACCTTAAAAACCAGAATAAGAAAATTTATGAGTAATTTGAGAATATTTTTCTCTTTTTTTTTGAAACCCTGGTGTCATCTTACCTTTTAACAGAAAATACGCAGTCGTGTGCCTTAAATTTTTGAAATGCTTCTTCAATATATTTTTCTTTTAAAAAAACCGACGTGCATTGAAACAAGGCAAAATTATCGATTGCTTTATGTCCTTCGAGGAATTCCTGAATAGCCTCAATAGACGATGTCCCATCCAGTGCGTATTTCGCAGGCCTTATATGCACTATGGCACCATCTAGAAAGCGAGTGTATTATAATTATTTAGATACTTTACATATGATTTCAAAAATTACTTACATTGTTTTGCTTCTAATGCAATTTTCTCGTCATCCGTGGAGACCCAGATATGTTTAAAGCAGCTGGAGTTTTGTATGGTTGTGATAGCCCGAGATAATAATGATAAGCCATCAATTTGAACTAAATTTTTATATGTTATTCCCTTGCTTCCACCGCGAGCGAGGATTAACGCATGTACATCATTTGTCGAACTATGAACAGAAATAATTTATTCAATATTCAAAATGAGATTGTGCATTTATCAGACACGTTTTATCAAAATCGAGAGGCTTTGTTAGGTATATCTAATTTGTTGTCTTCATAAGACTCTTAAGGCAATTTAATCCAATTTTGTTTAAATAAATAAACGATTTGGAGTATTACCAATTTGCATTAGCTTCCACTTGAATCGAGTACTGTAAAACAAATGTTAAGATCCAAAACTTAAGCACGTTCATAATAATAAAGCACACGAACTTGAATAAAAGAAACAACTAAATTTAAACACGACTAAATGCACTGCTATCCACAACGAACATTAAGGTGAACATGAACATCCGTGTGTGTGCATATGTTATGATTATCCCTAGTATTGTTGTTACTATTATGAAATGTGTTCTGGTCCAGGACAAAAGAGAAGTTATCGATTAATCTAACTATTCATCATGTACGTGTATGCAGTCGAAAATGATGTACATACTTGGCTAGCTTCCATGTATGATCTTTCAATTGACTTAATCAGGTCCACTCTAAAGTCAATTGAGCTTTTGTTATCCCACAATTGACATTTTATGTACATTTAGTATGTACATAAATGCATATATCTGATGTTATTGTAGGTGCAATGCGTTAAGTTAAAGTTTTACTAAATTTATTGTTGGACTACTCTTTCATATAGTAAAACAGTTATATGTTACATAGAAACATATAAGAGGTACTTTTTTCCTTTAAAAGGTTAATGGACATCTACTTAGGCAGATTTTATCAGGAGCAAATCGCTTTAACATTCCTATGTATTCTATATAAAAAATACCTATTAGTAATAAAAACGGATCATAATGTGTAGATAAGGCCATAAAAGGGTATGCAGAGTGAGAAATTAAGTTATAGTAATATAGACTATGAGATGCACTAAAAACAGCCGCAAGTGTTCGTGACACATAATCACGCCTTTTGATTTACACACACACACACACACACACACACACACAGAAATAATAATAATAACCTTCACAAGGTCGTTGGAACTGTTTAAAACATTAAACATTACAAAAAAAAACCCTTTAAAACTAAAACTAGTTGTTTTGTAATAAAAAGGCGCAAGATCTTTCCCGTTTTTTTAAATAAATATTTATTGCACAGTTATTTCATATTGCTCTAAAGATATGGATCTTTAAGACTTTTCTTGTAAAATTATCACTTACTTAAATATTTTCGCTGATCAGGAAATTGAAATAAACAATTATACCGTCAAAATATACGATACAAATAACTTAATCTATTGACAGGTTTTTGGGGTTTATTAACTAAAGTTTTGAATCGATATCGGGATATAGTCAATGCATAAATAATATTTATATGTACATTGTATATACAAAACTCTTAAAACCACATCCTATAAAAATATTCTAATCGATTTTATAAAGTTGAAAAGTCAGCAAATGTATTTCTTTAAAGAACATTTGCATATTTTTGGTTAATATATGCTTTAGTATGGTAATTGTATGTCCGGATTGATGCAGCTAATGTTTGCACTAATTGCTTGTCCCGCTTTGTAGATAGGGTAATATGATCGATACCGCTTGCACTAGAAAAATAAAAGATGATTTCATTTACATATTGGGTAAACATAATGCTCCATTGGCAGACATGTACATGTAAGTTGAAGGCACAAAAATTATACATACAGTTAAGAGTTATTTACAGACGAACAAGTCTAGACCGACTCGGTCGCTAATGCTGGTTATTTTTTTCTTCAATTTTTTTAAAGACCTTTTTTTTATTTAAATCTGTGAACATAGACACTCATATACATATATGGTTTGATAAACTGATCGGCAGATTTATGATTTATATGCGAAATGTATAATTCTTACTTGATATCTCTTGTTCGGAGGACACGCTCGGCCCATGTCTGGGGTCTGGGAATATCCCGTGTAACCCCAACTTGTTTTTTGTCAAGATAGTCAATAACATCATCGTAATAATTGGTTCTGTAATTGTACATGTATTTGTACTGCAGAAATTTCGGCCTTTAATCAAAAGAGAAGCAAATTATTTTTATTTAAAAGAAATCAATTTACAACATAACGAGTATATCCTTACCTGACCCAATGCCGATATAGTTGAACTGGTTTCCTGTAGCCGTCATCTTCTGGCGGAGGTGGAGGTGCCTTCAATTCAACCTCAGGCTCGGCAACATTTTCCTGCTCCCCCGATTCTTCGGCTGCCTGAGGGCCAGCTTCAGATCTTTGCTCAGATTTGACACTTTCTGGCTTGGATGGGACAGGATCAGTGGATCCAGGTTGTTGACTTTTTGCATCGGACTCAACGGTATCACCTTCATCAAAACCCCAAGGATCTTCTTCGTCCGCCATTTTACTGATTTTTAATTAAAAATGTAAAAACTTAATAGGTTAAGATATCAATACGGTAGTGTTATTTAACCCGACTGTGCTTTAGCCTAATTACACTATGAAAAGTTCGAAGCTCTTTTAGGGCAATTGTTCTATATATAGTGTCTAATTAAGAGCACAAATCATTGTCGTCGTAATCCTATATATATGCACGTGTATTGGGTCAGAGACTACCCCAATGTATATTTGTCACCAAAGTGTACTTTAAGCACATTTGTAGGGTATTGAGAAATGTGCCATGACAAAAGCTAACAACTAAAAATACCCTAACCGAAGACATTCATTTGAATATGTGTACGTGAGTGTGCATAGAGGCTCATACGTAATTGTTGAATAATTGTATCGAATATCACGTCCTTGTTATTTTCAAAATATAAAAAAAAGAGGGACAATAACTAGTATAAATGATCTTGCCTAAAATCAAGGATTAAAGAACGTTAACTTTTAACATGTATTTTAACTCTGATATATTTTTCCATTTCACATTTTCAGGAATTTAATTTAGCACAATTAATATTGTAGCTAAAAGTTATATTTCCTTTTAAGAATTTATTCGTTGATTTTCTTAGGTGTAAAATACCTGTGATATAGTGTTTATATTGGAGTTAAATTAAAAAGACTAACCAAATAAATTCTCGTTTACATGTAAAGGCAATGCAAACAGCTTTTCAGATAAAACAAGCAGCAATACATAATATAGGAACAAAAGCTACGAATAAAATAGCTTATAGACTATTAACACCTATTCCCATACAAGACTCATAGAGATGGAACACAATGCCAATTTCTATTAACGGTTTATTGAATGAATGAAATAATTCACTTGAGATAATTTATGGATAAATCAAATGAAGCTATTTTATATTATATATTATAATTCTCAGTATAACAAAATTTGTTTCAATTAATGCTTATGTAGTAGATGGATAAATTAAATGAAACAATTTAATATATATTTGTCTATAATTTAGGAAATTCTCTTTATGACAAAATTTATTTCATTTTTGATAAAATTTTTCGAATGTATAGTATAAAATAAATATATGTATATATATATACACGATATACTGCTTTAATAAGTTCAAATAATTAACATTTCAATAGAGTTAATATGTTTGTAGACGCATATATTTTTTGTAAACAGGCCACTTTAAATAATTCGCTAACATTTTATTATTTCTTGCAGTTTCTTGCATAGTTATTAAATTTGCTTGCATGAGAGTGGTGCAGATCGGTGACTAACCAATTACATTTTCACAGCTAGGACATAGATGAAATCAAAGGGAAAGATCTGCAAAATTAAAAGGGTAATATGGAAAATTAAAGATGCCAAGCCATCACGCTAAATCTTTGCACCTTTGGAAAAACTGCAGTGTGCACGGCTTTCCATGCAAAAATGGTAACATAGCCTGTTCAATCTTTAAATTAGCAAAAGGGCACCCGCGTAACCTAAGTGTTCTATAAATGGTGATATAATTGATGTTTTCCGATGAAGGCGAACGCTTATGTTTTCCGTATTCATTTAAAGCTTTCCGTCGCGATAAAATCAATAAGAATTCGCAGAGATCCAGTCAAACTGCATTTTAAATGTTTGATTAGCGTTCTCATGTTTCGTAAACAAGCGGATCCTCGATGCGAAAAAAGGACTGCATGATGACATTGGCAGAAATTGGCAAATCAAGATAATAGAGCGTAACTTCCGGTATGCTTCAATGCATGTTAGGAGCTCCTGGTGAGAAGCTAATTTAAATTATATTTTTCTGAGCGCTGGCTTTTATTATTATCATTATTAGGCGCGTTTCTACACTTAGATATTTTCTGCTATCATGGAAGTATGTAAATTAAAACAAAATATATTTAGCAATAGATAAACCTAGTATTGTGAAAGTGATTCAGACACTAGAGCAACTGCGCACGAAAAAATTGTAGCCTTTTTTTACACAGACATTTTGATACCTTACTCAACGGCCAAATACGTAAATGATATTTTGGAATAAATAAAATTGGTTAAATAAATAGTAGAAAAAAAACGATAGATCACGAACTTTGCGATGTTTTTAGAAATCCGTTTCATTCTATAGTTCCAAAAACGAGCAGAACAACGAGCGCTGCCACTTTAGTATATTAAAAATACTAACATAAATGTATCAAAACACAATTTGAAAATATCGCAAGTATCGATATAAAACACAAGTTGTTTATGTACACTAACACATATGTATGTGTATGCTTGTGTAAACAAGTATAAATGAATACTCCCTTTGATAAGATAACTAATGTTCCAAATGTATTTTGTTTTTCAGTTCACACACATACACACACATGAATCATAGTGTGATTCACTAGTTGCATTACCGTACGCAAAGTAAATTGTTTAAGGCCTAACGATGGCAACTCATGCGGAAAAGGACTTTTTTCACTTGGTATGTACAGATCTGCACATCTGTAGCAAAACAATAAATGCTCCCAATGTTTATATGATGTTCTGTCAACAGATTGTCATGAATGAGTGTAGTGAAATATACAAGCCGTAGTAAAATAATGTTTCTGTGCATACCTAACACCTGCACTAGGGCATAATACTGTGTTATTCTTTGCAATTCGATACTTCATAATGGAGCTCACTTCAAAATACAAATATAATTGTTGTTCATTTAATCGGAGCACGCTTCAGCTGACTTCACACGCATTCATTTGATACCATATATAGAATGAATTCGAGGCAAAAGCTAAATAGTAAAAAACTAATTCACGAAGTGGGCAATAAAACAGGTTATTATCTGTTGCTGATAATGCTATATGCAATATTCGCATTTTATGTAGTTCTTACTAAAAGTTTGGGTTCCTACAAAACGGATTGAACAATTATTAAACAGCAAAAAGTGGTCTCATCTAGTGCACTACTTAATTCGGATATTTATTTGGAACAAAGCATAGGAGATCAAGCAAAGTAATCTTTAGGGGCTACGGGATAAAAGTAGATCCCAGCTGGCTGGACAGACCAGCCCAGATAATCCGGGGTTCTCCGTGTTGCCAGAGTTTTGCGGTCTGTAGAGGAAACTGGACTTCAATTGCATGAGGTGTACGTGTTAGTAAATGCAAACATATTAAAAAACTAGGGCACCCTGGCTAGAAAGTATCTTCTACTCTAGTGTATATATTATAATTTAATTTGATATTTATCAATTGCAGAATGTCAGTGTACACAAAGCACTCAAGGGAATAGAAGGGCCGTTGAAATCCAAACATGCTCGCTCGATTATCATAATCATACACAGATCTAAGGAAGCACAAACATTTTGGTCGCTTATCACTCGCCAACCCATTATGGAAAATAGATTTACGGCTTGGAAGTTCTGTCATCTATTGCATAAAGTGTTAAGAGAAGCGCACAGGTGTGTTATTCAGCAATCGCAGAAGCATCAGAAAATGATTTTGGAAATTGGAAAGTCGTGGGGTCATCTGCAAGACGATATTGGATATTGTATTAAGGCATACAGCAAGCTGCTGGTAACAAAAATCAACTTTCATGACAAGAATCGAATGTATCCAGGAAACCTTTTAATAAGTTTTGCGGAACTTGCTAAAGCCTCCAATAAGGATTTAAATTACTAGTATGTATAATTATTATTACTTGCAATCTGTATTTACTAAATGTTCTTTTTATTGTAGCTTTCAATTATGCGTGGAAATTTTCGACTATCTGGAGGATATTATTGCTCTACAAGTAGCCATTTTTTCGTCTATTAATACATATCGGATATCGTCGATGACCCAGCAAGGCCAATGTAGATTAGCGCCATTAATAACTCTCATTCAAGACTCGAATCCATTGTATGATATCAGTGTCAGAATTATGTTTAAACTCCATGAAAAATTACCAAATGATGTGCTTTACGGTCATAGAGATAGGTTTTCTGGCATTTTTCCAAAGTTAAAGTTGTTTTATGATAATGTGAGGCCTTTGCAATACTTTAATGACCTTATAACTGTTCCACAGTTGCCAGATCAGAGTCCGAACTTTAAGTCTCAAGTAGATTTTGGTAGCTATGTACCACCCGTGGTACTTGTCCAATCGGAGCCCGATCCGGTAGTAGATGATCTTATTGACACTAACTTTCCCCATACTGATGACAATACAGATCATGTTCAACAAGATCACATTTTAAATGAACGTATTAATGTCTTGGAAAATATGGTGGAAGATAAGAGCGATATAATTATACAACTTAACGCCAAGCTAGATGAGTGGAAACATACTTATGAGGGACTAGAACAGAGTTATAAACAAGATGTTCTAGAGCTACAAAGAAGTAATACTTCATTATCTAATGATTTGGCCTCAGCAAAAGAAATTATTGCAAATATACGCATGGAAAAAGATGATCTGGAACTGCAGTTGACTAATAATCCCATTTTAATGCGTAAGTTTTGGTTGACAACTTAATCTCTGCTCTCCTTTGATATAAATTAAAAATAACTCTAACTCTATGTTTGCAGAAAAAGTAGTTGAAGAAGAGGAGAAACAAAAGTTATCATCAGAAAAGTTTAATAAGTTAAAAGTGATGTATACCCAAATAAGAGACGAGCATATAAATTTATTACGGCAGGTAAGGCATATTCTCAACTATAGCATTTATAATTATAATGTTCAAGTTTGAGTAATTCTCAGTTTTGATAACCATTAATATTTTATATTTATATTCACAGCATAGCGACCATTCCAAATCGTTAAACAAAGAAAAGCAGCTTAATTCGGAATTACTGTTGCAGATTAAAGAGCTAAACAATGAAATATTGAAACATAATGAAACGATAGCAGCTGATAAAAATAATAATACGCAGCTTTTACAAGAAATAGAAGAGCTTAAGAGCCAAAATACGAAACTTGAATCAACAGGAAAAGAAATAGAAACAAAATATGAGGCTACAATAAATGAGCTAACCAATGAAATTTCAAAGAATAATGAAACGATAGCATCCGACAAAAATAATAGTATTAAGCTGTTGCAAGAAATTGAAGAGCTTAAGAGCCAAAATTCAAGACTTGAGTTAACTGGAAAAGAAAGAGAAACAGAATATGAGGCTAGAATACATGAAAAGGAAAGTGAAAATTTGGATTTAAGTTCAAAGGTGAATGTTTTGAAAGAAACAACTATAGAGCTTGACAAAATTAAATTAATCTTGCAAGAAAAAGAACAAAAACTTGCAGAAGCAGAAAACTTATTAAACATAAAGAATAAGGAAATGGTCGAAAGCCTTATAAAGTCTGAAGAAAAATACCTAAAACTGTCAACTGAGAACGAAGAATTGCAAGTAAATCTTAAACGGGAGTTTCAAGCCTTAAGCAAAACTTTCGATGAAACCGATGTCAAACTTAAACAAAAGGAAATCGAACTAGAGGTAAATAATTTCAATTCATTTAGTTATCTACTAAAAGGTTCCCGGCAAAATTCAAATTGTTGGGGAACCAAGCTTAAATTGTAAAAACAAAAGTTCGAAAAGTAATGTATATAATTTAAGCAAAATATTACTAAAAACTGACTTTGCTTTCTTTAGGAACTGGAGGCTTCTTTGTCTTTGTTAAATGAGGAAAAAATAGTATCGACAAAACTCCTAACGGATACGCAACAAAAACAGAGCCAACTCGAAAGAGATTTACTGCAAGCATTGACCAGAGTGGATTCTATCACAATATCAAATAAACAATGTGACGACAAATTACAGACAATGAGGAAATTAACGATTCAGACTGTGAAAGAAATATGTGCTTCGAAATTGAATGACGGAGCTCAGCAACCATTGGAATTTGTTCCAAAATTATCGTCAGAAATTGATACTTTGCTAAACAAATTGGCTGCCTGCAATCATATATCTATTGATGGATGCGTCGAAAAAATACATGACATTATATATTTAGGATATTACTTTATAGAACTGTACGAACAATGTGATATAATTTATACAACTACAACAGAAATTGAAAAAGGACAGGGTAAGTTTTGTTCTCATATTTGTATTATTATTATTAAGTTGGTTTTAATCCACAGATGTTTTAAATAGAGTTCGTTCAATATGGCCAGACTTACTGCTGCTATTTGAAGCTGTTGAACATGATGACAAAAATAAGCAGTTCGATTCCCTCGTTAAAGAGATACATAGGAAATTAACGGAATTAAATGCGCTAGTACAAGGCATACTGAACAACTTTGAAAACAGCGTCGATCTTGATAAGTTGATTGAAGTAGAACTTAAAGAGATGGACGCTGCTATTGAAGAAGCCGCTTCTAAAATTATTGACCTGCTCTCTAAGTCACGGGAGAACGACAACAAGATAAAGCTTGAAGTAAATGAGAAAATTTTGGAGGCCTGCACAGCCTTGATGGAGTGTATTAAAGTGTTAATTTTGAAATCGCGTGTGCTTCAGCAAGAAATTGTTTCTTCCCAGAAAGGTATGTAAGGCATATTTAGGATGTTAATTCATGCGATAAAAATGTTTTTAATGTTTCAGGTAATGCAACAGCAAATGAATTTTACAAACGCAATAGTCAATGGTCAGACGGATTAATATCAGCATCAAAGAGCGTGGCCAAGGCAGCAAATTATCTAGTTGAAGCTGCCAATACTGCTGTGAACAATGATTCTGGACAAAACTTTGAGCTTATAGTCGCTGCCCAAGAAATTGCTGCCTGTACTGCTCAGCTGGTGATAGCAAGTAAGGTAAAGGCGAATCGCAACAGTCAAAATTTGGATAATTTGACAGCTGCCTCACGAAATGTAACCAAGGCAACTGGAGTTGTTGTTGCCACTGTAAAGGATGGCAATTCACGACAGGAGCAACAGCAAGATAATGATTTACGTAAATTAACACCATCTCAACTTAAAACTATGGAAATGGATATTCAAGTTAAAGTATTAGAACTGGAACAAGCGCTTCAAAGTCAACGCTTCAAGTTGTCGGCATTTCGAAAAGAGCATTATCAGAAAACAGAATACTAAAACAAAACATAATGTTTGTTATCGACAATTATTTTTATTAAAATATAATAATTTCCTATTCTGTTTTGATTATGTTCAGTTAACTGTTTAAGCAATTATTAATCATCAGTTTAGATAGAAGGGAGAGATCGACAGAACGATAGCTTAAAATAATGATTGGCATTAAAATAATGAAAATCTAAATTTTGACAAGGGGTCGATTTAAAATTAAGACCATTTTTGAAGTATTTTTTTGGAATATCTAAAGAAAATAACATCAGATTTTTGAAAGTATTACCTTTTTGAATTCGTAAGGAAGCACACTAACGATTGACATTCAAGAAAAATAATAATCAAGGGTGACATAAAAATGGTGGATAAAAAACGGTTTGGTTATGATGTCAAACTGGCTTGATGATTTTTTGGAATATCTCGGCCAATCATCGTCAAATTATGGAATGATATACCTCTTTTCACTCGTAAGGATCTGTACTATCGATTGACATTCAAAGAATGAAAATCTAAATTTTGACCCAAATCGAAAAAACAGCAAGGGGTTACATCACGTTTTTTAACAAAAAATGGGATCGATTTGAAATTCAGGCCATTTTTGAAGTATTTTTTGTAATATCTTGGGTAAAAAACATCAGATTTTTGAAAGTATTACCTTTTTGAATTCGTACGGAAGCACACTATCGATTGACATTTAAGAAAAATAATAATCAAGGGTGACATAAAAATGGTGGATAAAAAACCGTTTGGTTATGATGTCAAACTTGCTTGATGATTTTTTGGAATATCTCGGCCAATCATCGTCAGATTATGGAAAGATATACCTGTTTTCACTCGTAAGGCTCTGTACTATCGATTGACATTCAAAGAATGAAAATCTAAATTTTGACCCAAATCGAAAAAACAGCAAGGGGTTACATCACGTTTTTTAACAAAAAATGGGATCGATTTGAAATTGAGGCCATTTTTGAAGTATTTTTTGTAATATCTTGGGTAAATAACATTAGATTTTTGAAAGTATTACCTCTTTGAATTCGTACGGAACCCTATTATCGATAATAATAATAATCAAGGGTGACATACGAATTGTGGATAAGAAACGGTTTAGTCATGATGTCTAACTTTGAAATGGCGGAGTTATGTCGCTTTAAAACGACAAAAATTCGCTCATTTTCTAACGTCAAATTTACGCGGTTTCCAAAATGATCCAGGATGGTGATCGCTATTCATGGTACCTAGTTGACTAATATATCCTTGGTTATTCAATATCATGGATATAGTCCTTGCGAACCTAAAGGATCGAGTTCTCGCAAAATGCCCAAGAACATGGTCCAAAAATATGCATGCTCTTCTTTTACAGCAGCCCGCCCCCTGGGTGGTTTCTAGTTGACTAATATATCCTTGGTTATTCAATATCATGGATATAGTCCTTGCGAACCTAAAGGATCGAGTTCTCGCAAAATGCCCAAGAACATGGTCCAAAAATATGTATGCTCTTCTTTTACAGCAGCCCGCCCCCTGGGTGGTTTCTAGTTGACTAATATATCCTTGGTTATTCCATATCATGGATACAGTCCTTGCGAACCTAAAGGATCGGATCCCTGCAGAATGTGCATGAAAATGGTCCATAAACATGTATGATTTTTCTTACAGGAGCCCTTTTACATTAGCTGCAGCTGCACTTGTTGTTTAACAGGCGGCTTACAGCGCTTATTTTACGTAGACTGCTAATTAACAGCACTCATTTTAATTGAGTTACATTTTGCCCCTTAATGCTATGCAATAAACATTTTTATTCAAACCACTCGTCGACCTTCTGGGCATTTCTGTTCGCCTGGTATTTTGGCAGATTTTAAGAAAAATCTCGGCAGCCAGCGGTTGCCAACGGGCGCCCCTGGCGGGTATGCAATGGACTTCTTAAAACCGTTAATTTTTAAATAAAAAAAACAGGAATTTGTCCTTTTTATTTTAAATAATTGATTTATTTATGCTTACATTTATAAAATTGTTGTTTTTATGCAAATTTTCTTAATTATTTCTCTTAAAATTATATAAATCGAGCATAAATTATAATTATTGCTTATTTAAACTTAAAATAACTATATCTGGCTATGACGTTCCAAAACGACAGAACTCCAGCGCCAGCGGTTGCCGTTGGAGATATGACGTTCCAAAACGACAGAACTCCAGCGCCAGCGGTTTCCGTTGGAGATATGACGTTCCAAAACGACAGAACTCCAGCGCCAGCGGTTTCCGTTGGAGATATGACGTTCCAAAACGACAGAACTCCAGCGCCAGCGGTTGCCGTTGGAGATATGACGTTCCAAAACGACATAGCTCCGCCGTTGATCATGGCGAGATTATGTCGTTTTGAAGCGACGCCCCTTTTGGGTATACAATGCAATTTTTCTAAAGACCGTTGTTTTTTGAATTTTTTTATAAAAAAACAGGGTTTTCTTCTTTTATTTTAAATAATTGATTTATTTATGTTCAAATTTACAACATTTTTGTTTTTTTACCCTCATTTTCTTAACTATTTCTCTTAAAATTATAAAAATCGAGCATTGAGTATAATTTTAGCTTATTTAAACGTTATCTGGCTTAATTAAAGTCTGATCCTGGAAAAAACTGCTTTGGCACTCGTGAACTCCTTAGAGTTCTTTGTAGTCCTTAATTTGTCAGTCTGAAAAGATAAAAACACATTTAAATTAAACATATAATATACCTCTTTTCACTCGGAAGGAGCTGTACTATAAGTTGGCATTCAAAGAATAAAAATCTGAATTTTGACCCAAATCGAAAAAACAGCAAGGGTTACATCACGTTTTTTAACAAAAAATGGGATCGATTTGAAATTCAGACCATTTTTGAAGTATTTTTTGTAATATCTTGGGTAAAAACCATCAGATTTTTGAAAGTATTACCTTTTTGAATTCGTACGGAAGCGTACTATTGATGGACATTCAAGAAAAAGAATAATCAAGGGTGACATAAAAATGGTGGATTAAAGCGGTTTGGTTATGATCTCAAACTTGCTTGATGATTTTTTGGAATATCTCGGCTAAATATAGTCAGATTATGGAATGATATACCTCTTTTCACTCGTAAGGAGCTGTACTATAAGTTGGCATTCAAAGAATAAAAATCTGAATTTTGACCCAAATCGAAAAAACAGCAAGGGGTTACATCACGTTTTTTAACAAAAAATGGGATCGATTTGAAATTCAGACCATTTTTGAAGTATTTTTTGTAATATCTTGGGTAAAAACCATCAGATTTTTGAAAGTATTACCTTTTTGAATTCGTACGGAAGCATACTATTGATGGACATTCAAGAAAAAGAATAATCAAAAGTGACATAAAAATGGTGGATTAAAGCAGTTTGGTTATGATCTCAAACTTGCTTGATGATTTTTTGGAATATCTCGGCTAAATATAGTCAGATTATGGAATGATATACCTCTTTTCACTCGTAAGGAGCTGTACTATAAGTTGGCATTCAAAGAATAAAAATCTGAATTTTGACCCAAATCGAAAAAACAGCAAGGGGTTACATCACGTTTTTTAACAAAAAATGGGATCGATTTGAAATTCAGACCATTTTTGAAGTATTTTTTGTAATATCTTGGGTAAATAACATTAGATTTTTGAAGGTATTACCTTTTTGAATTCGTACGGAAGCACACTAACGATTGACATTCAAGAAAAATAATAATCAAGGGTGACATAAAAATGGTGGATTAAAGCGGTTTGGTTATGATCTCAAACTTGCTTGATGATTTTTTGGAATATCTCGGCTAAATATAGTCAGATTATGGAATGATATACCTCTTTTCACTCGTAAGGAGCTGTATTATAAGTTGGCATTCAAAGAATAAAAATCTGAATTTTGACCCAAATCGAAAAAACAGCAAGGGGTTACATCACGTTTTTTAACAAAAAATGGGATCGATTTGAAATTCAGACCATTTTTGAAGTATTTTTTGTAATATCTTGGGTAAAAAACATTAGATTTTTTAAAGTATTATTTTTTTGAATTCGTACGGAAGCATACTATTGAGCTTCTTAGACCATCGACTTATATATTTTGTACTTATATATTTTGGTGGTGTTCCCAAAAACAGCAATTTCAGAATAACAGTGTAATAAACGTAACCATAATATTTACTGTCGTCAATTATTTTTATTAAAATATAGTTTCGTTTTATTTTTTATTATGTTTGTTAAAGTATTTAAATATATTTTCACCAGCTTTAGTAGGGAAGACCCTTTTTATTCTTTCAATGCGTACGGCCTTTTATCTTGAGCGTCGGGTGCCACATCACAGATTTCAGTTGGGAGTGCCTGCTTCGAATTAAACCTAGGTACTTACTGTGAGAAACTAAACAAGCCAGAATTAATTTCAAGAAAAATCGGTTTAGATGGTTATGTTTTTTTTCCCCACGTTTATTTCATAGCGGCTGACACATCTTTAAAGCTCTCTTTTCCATAGATCTTTTTAGCTCTATCAAAAGCCTCAATTATACACGATCTGTAAACATGATATTTTATTAATTTTCATCAATATACGATGAAATCAGTAAATCATCTACCTAAACAATTTTTGGTGCAACACATAGGCGCTTACATGACCAGCATCTAAATACCTTACTTCAGCTCCTGGCCATATGTCTTCAAGGCTGGAACATCCATCTCGCGGAACATATGCATCATCTCTTGCACACACTGCTATTATTAGGGAGGTATCAAATGGTATTGAAAAGTTCTTTAAATGTGTACACTCGTCCATCATTCCTCGCATGAATTGTAACGCTTCTCTCTCCCACCAATTTGTCTTTGTAATATCAATTTTTTTAGCTTTGTTTTGTGCGGACATAGGTAAAATAAATTTCATTAGTTTCGTTAATGCCGATCCTTCTGTCGAGTCTGAATTGCATAAAGCTAATTCAGAATTGCCAGAAATGTTTTCACTGAGGATTTCTTTTAATGGCAAAGATATATGGTTAGAGTCCAGTTGTCTATTTTCAAGTGTTTTTGATAGAAATATTGAATTATCAGCGTTATCTAACAAATGGCTTTGTGTCTTGTTATTATTTCCATCATTATCACGCTCCAGAGTCTGAATCTTTCTGGTATCATCAATATCCTCTTTGAGCTCATGCAGCGACTGATTAAAATTCTGTATAAACTTTTGACCAGCCGTGAAGGCATCGTCTATAATGGTAACCATTTTTGAAAGACGTTCCCTATATTGGCCATCAGAGTAATACTGCGTCTCCAGCATATCCCAGTTGATGGATTGACTCATTACGCCCTATTAAAAATAAAATAATTTATCCGTTACCGTTGGCAATCATTTTTAGCTATTTTAATAATTTTAATTTCAGAGCATGTCATCACCTCTCCCACCTAAGATGGGTTATATAAAATGACTTTTAACACGCAAAAATTCATTACACTAAGACTTAATCATAAAACAAACCGTTAATGCTAGAAGCATGGAAAGCTGAAAGTAAGAAGAAGTATTTAAAGACATATATTTGTATTACATACAGTGGTGAAAACAGCCGATGCAGTAGACCAAGATAAACACGGGACTAGAACTAAGGGCTTCGGCCAGTTCGTTGCTGCTAGCGATGCCATCTATAAAAATTGAAAGTATTTTAATATTTATAGTCAATAAAATTATACATTGGGTTGTCAGTACTTTTCGAACTGATAATAAGTTCATCATTAATGGGGCTTACTTACATGACCTCCCATCGATAATCCGGTGATTCCAAGTGGACCGAAGCCGTTTCTTTCACACCAGTGCAAAAGAACAAGACATTCAAGTATAAGACATCCACCCATAACAAATATATCTGACACGTTATGCAAATTCGATCGTCTACAAACAGATAAATTATACTTTAGCTTAATTAATAGGCCTTAGCAATACATTTTTTAAGAGCTTATTTATCAATGTAAATGTTCAGTCTCCATATAGATATACTTAAAATCGTTTATACAATTACATTTGATCATCGGGTTTCCGCAGTCCGTAAAATGGATTTTCCAATATAATCGATCCAATATTTGCATCCTTCAGTAATGGCTTTGCAATAAAATTTCTTCGGCGCCAAAAAAACTGAAACCAAAGTTCCCAAGTGAAGAAAGTAACAAAATTTGATTAAAGATTCATTCGCCATATATAAATATATTTCCGGGTTTTAATTAGCTTTGCGTCCTTAATACTCACATGATCTCCAGTTCCCGCCAAATGGATACAAATTGGCTTATGTTGTTCGTTATTCCATTTATTGGGCAATAATAATTGAAAATATGCCTGCTGGGCTGCTTCAGGAACGACTCCAGGCATGTGTAGCTCAAGGGGAGTCGTAAAAGTGCCTTCTATCAAAGTCGAATCGGAATATTTTTTCTTTTTCGTAATCTCCACTGGATAGTCGCGTGGCACAAGTTTGAAACATGTTTCCCTACATGAAATTATTTTTCGAAACTGAAATACTCTGAAAATAAGAAATCAAAATTAAGTCCAATCAATTATTTTATTTATAAATCGAAAATGGCTTATTAAAGATAATTAGACCAGATAATTCAGCTAGCTCTATGTTTAATGATTAATACCCAAGAAATAATTTCATTTACATCTCGAAGCCTAATTCAAAAGTGGAATACCCCTACATGTGAAATATCGAAACGATTTCACAAACACTTATCGATATGGCCCGTCTGCAACTCTAAATTTTTTTAAGGTCTGCAGAGGGCAAAATCATGCTCAAAAATATGTTGTATACTTCCCTCATGATATGCAGAGCCGGCATTTAGTGCGTGTAATAGTTAGTTAATGTGTTTTAGAAGCATTTTAAATTATTTGAATTGTTACGTAAATGATGCAAACAAATAACACTACATACGTACATGTGTCTTCACAAACTGGCAATGCAATGCAATTGTTTGTAGATGATTTGTTATTGCGTAACTTACCTATGTAAGTTCTCAGGCTTTCCCCATCCCTTCTCAAAAAATCTTGTAATAAGCATTCGTCGATAGAGACTGTCAAGTTTGCTGGGTGGCATGTTTTGTAAATATTTGTTGTCAAAACAGTGGGACTTTTTACTGCACCAACTAGGGTGCTCAATTTAGTTAACTAGTTCATCTAATCGGGTTAATAGAACGATTTGCTGAACTACATTCATTAACAAAAATATCGATATGCCCATCAACACATACTATGAACTTAATTCGTAAGAACAATTTATGTTAAGTTTTCTCTTCATTTTGAGCATGCCTGCTATTCGTAAACAAATTTAATTTAAGTTGTTCCAGATAATAACAGAAAAATTAAAATAAAGCTAAACTTAATAATAGCTATTCGTAAAATAACAATAATGTTTACAAGCTATCCATAAATAATATAATCGATACATCTTGATAAATACTTTAAAGGGAAAAAAAGGGCTTAGTTCATATTGGAAAATGCAATATTTAACACTTCGTTGTTGCCTATAATATGTTAAGTTCATTGATTTATAGTAAATTGTTACTCCAAGTATCGACGCTGTCTTGTTTTTGAACTTGCCATTTAAAATTTCAGACTAGTTCGATTTTGGAACAAGTGGTTTTTTGGAACTTCTAAGAACTCAATAACATTTATGTTTACAAGTGGATTGTTATTAAAAAGAAATATATACGAATTGTTTCATAATGAACCCATGTGTGCTGGTCATATCTTATGGAAACCTTTCTGCAATGAAAATCGTTGAAAGTATGTCCTTACGCTCAATCACACATACATACAAAAATAGGAAGTGTATTTTATTTTAGTTTGTAAGACAGGCAGTTTTGTATAAGAACCTAAAACATTGTTGCAGGCAAGTATTGAGGAAAAGAGGATACCAAGTGACACCTTCTAGGTGTGCAGCAGCCGTGTTGTAATTACTTTATGTACACCTGTTTTTGTATTATAAAAGATACCATCCACAGATTGAAATGAAGTTAAGCTGCCAACAATATTATGGTGAGGTGTTGAATATGCCGGTATGCTCCATTATGAAGTTAAAAAAAAGTCAAATTGGGAAGATTTAATTACGTTTCTGTAATATTGATGAACGTTCACCTGGATTAAGGGCCTAACATATTGTTACTTAGCCAACAATTTTGCAAGACGAATAGCAACTTATACAGAAGAACATTTTTGTAATAGTTCGTTTTGATAGTTTAAATTCTTTAAATTCCTATTTTCAGACATATTAACTGAAATAAATCAGCCAAAGGTAAAAACACCCGTGACACACGAGTCCCTGGTTATAAACCATTTTAAATGTGATATTAGAACCAAATATTACAATACCAGCGTATATTTAGTACCTTTCGATGGAACGTACGACGAGGTTCCAACAGAATTAAGGAACACAACCGAATCTCTAATTGTATACTTTGAGCCAAACGATGTAAGTAGGCATTACGACGCTGTAATAGGTATATTGATTTCATTTTGAATATTTCCTTACAGAAATCATTTATGAACAACCTCTCGGGTCTTAATGACTTCATAATAACTAATAAAATCCAGCTTGGATTTTTAATAACAACAGCATTTTCTGGTAAACCCAATGAATTAACATTCGAAGACCTTAAGGAAAAGGCAAATATTGTATTTGATATAATAACACTTAAAGAAGAGGATGAGGAACCTTCAGAAGATGCGTTGTGCGAAACAGATAAATATTCTGAGATTGTAGAAGGCTTGAAAAACTTTGTATGGTCAAACATAAAAACAAAAGCCTCAAGTAAGTAGCGCTTGTTTATTCCTTAAACAAGAATTAGCTTATTAATTTGGTATTTATTTTTGATCTTTTATTTGCAGCTTCGAATTGCAAACAGCCCAACAATGCTGAGGATCTGGAAAATGAACTAAATGATTTTGAAAAATTATTAATTACGGCACAAAACCTACGCAGCGACACACGCTTAACTAGAGATGAAATTTTAAATAAAGCGGAAGAATTAGCGGAAGTTATGTCCGCAATTTTGAATGATAATGATAGCGACTAATTTTAATAAATATTAAAACAAAATATATTGTTTGGGTCTGCACCCTTTGTTTTTTTCTTCTCATTACCTTCGAAAGATTACGATATAATGCACGTAGAAACATTTGAAAATATCACGTATGCAAAGAATAAACATAACTTTCTAATCTTATCAAAACAAGCGAATTCTAGCTTTAAGGGAGGCATATCTCGTAATTTATAAGAGTTTAAGTCATGAACATGATTTATCTTACATATTTTTTTGGTTTCTCCTCCTATCAGAAGTTCATATATTAGTATTCAGTGGTATTCAATATTTGGAAGAAGCTCGTCACAAAACATATTTTTTATTGTTTTGTTGCTTATTTTTAAAAGTCTTAATTGTTGATAAAAAAAAAAAAAACAATTTTATTTATTTTATATGCATTTCACAGCCGATATATACATATTTATTCAACATGTCTGCGTACTAGCCTTAAGACACTATAAAAAGTAAGACCATACTTGGTAAAAGCTTTTCAGTATTTTAACATATTTATTCGATAACTTAATTTTTACCAAATTATCTGTATCTTTTTAATCTTTATAAGTTCTGTTTCTGCATGTAAGTTTTTTAATTTTTATAATTAAAATTTGGTGGGTGAAAAAGTTGAATTTCGTGTAATTATAAAATATATTTGCATATTTAGACAAATATAGAAATATGCTGTGGCGGTAATACAATGCACTTTGTAAATACACACGAGTGTATGGATATATGTATGAGGCATCTATATACATAATTATGCGCTTTACATGAGTCTAATTATTTTGTCAAAAACATTACTTCCATGTACAAGCACACGTAACTGTGAACATATAAACGCATATGGTTTACCAAATACTTAAAAAAAGTGCTGGTGACTGTTGTTAACTCTTTGTTAACTCATAATACATACGTACATATATGTACATATGTACATATATAAGTGCTGCGAAGCGTATATGAAAGCCATATTATTAATAATTTATATATGTGTATGTACATTACGTACCACCCACTTTAGATATTTACTTATGTATTTCTGTACTAAAGAAAAAACATGACATACAAATTGAAGAGTTTATTGCCACAAACACTTGTAGTCCCCATAGGTACTTACTCATGTACATACAAACAGACAACATATGTATGTATGTATGTAACGACATGTACATGTGTTTGTGTTTTAATTTCTAATTTTGTTATTACACCCCCATTCCATAAAATATAAAAAACAGACAGAAATTTCTTTAGCATGCCGAAACAGCTTAAATATGTATATGCATATATATATATATTCCGGATCAACCCGAGCAAACGATCCATCCATTTACAATAGCATTAAATGGTCTAACTCTGAGGCAATAAGCGTTAGTCATCAACTTTTATATGCACACAGCCGCCTCTTGTGCACCATTCGTAGGTTAGTAGCGCGATTTCACTATGCCTTACATTCTCTTTACTGATTCTATTTGTAATTGGTCTTCGTTTGTAATTAAACAAGTTAAGCAAAATTAAGTAATCAAGAGGCGGCATGGTTAGGAGCAAAACAGCTGATCAGTTAGTTTGGATTTCCGTTTGCTTACCAAATAAAATAAATTTCAGGTTTGTAAATAAGAATAGAGTAGTTTTAAATCAGCTTAAAATTCCAAGCATAGCTTAGGCTTCGTCAATAATTTTGAACTGTTCTGTAACAGTATCTACCGAAATGTAGCCACATTTCACATTTCACGCCCAAGTATTGGCTTACATGTACATATATAAGAAACAACAACATATTACAACTAGGAGAAAATACACGAAAATACCAGATGTATATCCTGCTGACACTCTTCGTGTTTTTGATTATATCGATAACAATTTCAATTTATTGATAATTAATTAATCGACCGAAGCAAATACCGGTATTCTCTTCGAATTCAATGAATGTTTACATTCTGTTATTCGAAACAAAAGTATTTTTATTTATCTCCTCTAGGTAAAATGAATAAGTTAGTTATTTAAGGAAAGATAAATAACTTGATTTAAAAATGCCACATTATATGATCAATTTTAAAAGAAAACGAAAATAATCTGTTGATGTTATACTACAAAATTATCATATACGACTGGGTATCAATGAATAAATCGCATTTGAAAATATTTACAATCTACTTGTTAAAAAGTGTTATAACATTTTTTGTATCGAAGATAAGAAGTTATGTTTTATTACAATTAGTGTGTGCGCATTATTAGGGGTGTTCCAACAGATGCCGATGCAGGTCCTGCGCATGCGCAAGTTTTGCTGTATTGATTTCTGTGAAAGTATTTTTTAAGCCAAAAGCGTTTTGTGAAAATGATTGTATCAAAAGCTATCAAAAACTATAGAATGTAAATATTTTAATACTCAGTTTATATTTTCCGAAAAACAGCATTATTTTGTCAAATTGTAGCATTATATGTATACATATTTGTTTGAATCTTGTTAGTAAGTACACATTTTTTTACTCTGCAGACAGAAAATTGAGCAAATCGGCAAAATGACGCAGATGTCGCAAGACGAAATTATAAGCAATACAAAAACTGTTTTGCAAGGCTTGGAAGCCTTGCGGGTCGAACATGTTTCCATAATGAACGGTATATCAGAGGTGCAAAAAGATAATGAAAAATCTGATATATTACGAAAGAATATTGAAAACATTGAACTTGGCTTGAGTGAAGCACAAGTCATGATGGCCCTAACATCGCACTTACAAAACATTGAAGCTGAAAAGCAAAAACTAAAGACACAAGTACGCCGTCTGCACCAGGAAAACGCTTGGCTGCGAGACGAACTTGCCAATACACAACAGAAGTTTCAGGCATCCGAGCAATTGGTAGCACAACTGGAAGAGGAAAAAAAACATCTGGAATTTATGGCCTCAGTAAGGAAATATGATGACAATCAAGAGCAAGACGAGTCCTGTGAGAAGGCCCGCAATGATCCTGTCGTCGAGCTATTTCCCGATGAAGAAAACGAAGACAGGCACAATATGTCTCCAACACCTCCAAGCCAATTTGCTAATCAAACGTCCGGCTATGAGATTCCAGCCAGATTGCGAACACTTCACAATCTTGTTATACAATATGCATCACAGGGCAGGTAATAAACAATCCGTAGCATAGTCGCGATTTTAACATAAAAAGGAAAAAAAAGTTGTGATGCAAAATTTGATGAGTCAGCTTTAAGAGTGTTTCTTTTTCTAAACCTTAACCTTGTTTTTATTCCTATTACAAATGAAATAACATGAGCTTAATAATATCATAGGATTGCTATAGTTTACGTCCAATTTAATTACATTTTATAGAGGTTTTTTTTCTTTCAAACTAATTAAATATATATTTTGCAGATATGAAGTTGCAGTGCCTCTTTGCAAGCAAGCACTCGAAGATCTTGAGAAAACAAGTGGTCACGATCATCCAGATGTTGCGACAATGTTAAACATTTTGGCACTTGTTTATCGTGATCAAGTTAGTAGGAATATGACGAATTAACTAATATTACAAAATATGCTAATGTTTACTTCTCTGCTTTAAATAGAACAAATACAGGGAGGCGGCAAATTTATTGAACGATGCTCTGTCCATTCGTGGCAAGACACTGGGCGAAAATCATCCAGCCGTAGCTGCGACCTTAAACAATTTAGCCGTGCTATACGGCAAACGCGGTAAATACAAGGATGCCGAGCCACTTTGTAAGCGTGCTCTAGAAATACGTGAAAAGGTTCTTGGCAAGGACCATCCAGATGTTGCAAAACAATTGAATAACTTGGCTTTGCTTTGTCAGAACCAAAGCAAATACGATGAAGTTGAGAAGTATTATCAGAGAGCACTTGATATATACGAATCAAAGCTTGGTCCTGATGATCCCAATGTAGCAAAAACGAAAAATAACTTGGCCGGATGCTATCTCAAGCAAGGGCGATACGCAGAAGCTGAAATCCTCTATAAACAGGTGTTGACGCGAGCCCATGAACGGGAATTTGGTGCGATTGATAGCAAAAATAAACCCATCTGGCAGGTAATATCAAGTTTTTTGATAATGATTTTGTTTGTTTTTGATTAAATCGTAAGCCTGTGCTGTAATTAATCCAATAGGTTCCGACAATACAGACAACCTAACGGCCATAAGCTGTTTTATCATTTAAGAGGAACATTCTTTTAGAATTTGTAACAGGCTTTACTTATGTTCAGAACAATATATAATAAATGCACTCAATTAATAATATTTATGAGCGAATTTGTTTCGTTTTGCTTTTAGGTGGCCGAGGAACGCGAGGAGCACAAGCACGATAAGCGCGAAAATACACCATATGGCGAGTACGGTGGATGGCACAAGGCTGCGAAGGTTGATTCGCCTACCGTAACCACAACGTTGAAGAACCTGGGCGCACTCTATAGGCGCCAGGGCATGTTCGAGGCAGCCGAAACTCTCGAGGATTGTGCGATGCGCAGTAAAAAAGAAGCTTACGATTTGGCTAAACAAACTAAAGTCGCACAACTTCTCACGTCGACCGAAAAGCGGCGATCGAAGCAGATGAACGATATGGAATTTTCCGATGAGGTAATATATTTCATATAAGTCATCAATCAATATAAAAGAAGAAACTTCAAGAATGGGTTTTGCTTTGGTTAGTAAAAACTCGCATTCGTTTGCCAGCACACAGTTAAACTTTACAACAACAGTGATTAATGTGAAGTCCAATGCTCGAACTAATCTATTTTATTTTCATTTTTCAGAAATCGGTTAAGCCTTAAGCACATTCTTTGTCGTCTGGTCATTGTGGAATCAGTGTGCTCCTTATATATAAGCTAACTCGAACATTAACATTATTTATTCATTCCTTAATATTAATTTGGTCAATTTTCTCAATTACGGAGTTAAGTCATAAAAAATTATATTTTTCGAAAATTGCAATTGTTTGTTCTAAATTTGTTGATTAAAAATATCTTTACAATATATTTTAACCGAGTATTGAGAGAACTGACTTAAGTTGACTCAAGCATAATTAAGTAAAAAGTAAACCATGTTTTATAATTTGTTATCTCTACAAAATATAGGAACGGCTTTTTAATAAACAACCAAAAATAAGTAACGATTAAATACATTTGCAGTGTCTCCTCGTTTTTTTCAATTTTTTTATAGCATATCTAGTCTTAGGTGCAAAAATAATGTAAGTGGATAAAGCACTTTTAGTAACAATATTATATAAATTATATTTTATTTATTAATTATATTTTTTTTTTAAGTACCTATTACTTTGAATACTTTTTATGTTATAATCAACCAAAAATGGGTATATGTATATTAAAATCATTGGAAATATGTGAAAGAACTTAAATTCAAGAAATTGGTCTTGAATTTTTGCTGCTTTACCAGGTTATTTGTCAAATTTCACTAAAGCGTATTATTCAGTCATTTATTATCAGAATCAAAAAACAGTTTATACATATATACAAATATATTTATATATATATATATATGTATACATATCTATGTATATATATATATATATATTTGTATATATATATATATATATATATATATATAGATATATCATTTATTTATTTTGAATATCAATTATATTTTAATCAGGGACAACTCGCGTTCATCGAAGACACTTTTAGCATAATTAATCTGAAACGAAAGCAACAGACTCAAATAAATATTCTATTCATGTTCAAGCAAAGCTTCTTGAGTGTAATATATGAAAACAGTTACAAGGACCAGACCCAGGTTGAAATCCGATTTCTATATGGTTGTTTATATATAGTTTACGGTGATTTTAAAAGGTTAGGATTTTACTTACACATCTAGATGCGGTCTCAGCACATTCCTCTGTTCGACAACGAATTCGCGGTCGTGTAATTTTTGGTAAGATTGTTGATATTTCTATGTAGTAACTGGATGAAACTTTAGTTGTAGATGGGCTTGGCCCCGTATTAGTTGTCAATGGATGACATGATAGAATTTCACTAAGGTGACACTCAAACATAGTAGTTGGGTTTTCCTCACAAATGGAGAATATACGAACAAATTCTGTAGAAACTAAAAGGCGTAATCTTGCTTCTTTATCACTCCAAAGGTTTGGCTCGTAAAATATGATTTTCTCCATAAAATTTTTACGATTTATTAAGTAAAGGTACTGTTGACCTTTGCTTTGGCGACTAGAATATGGTGGTAAAAGCCCACCAGGTGCACCGGTTACGCATCTGGGTAAACGTTTCCGGCTTGGAGCATGTCGATGTGAGTCTCTGCTAGTTTCACGAACAGCACTTGCCGTTTCTGAAGCCAAGTCCAGCATTCCAATAATTGGCTTCGTAACAGTGCCCACCAATCCTTTGCCTAAGCCACTGAGAAACCCTGGAACACCATCGGCGGAAGCACCATCATATGTGTGTCGAACAATACTTGTGACTCCTCCAAGTAATCCAAATCCAAAGCCCTTTATGCCGGCTGCTAGATGACCACCGGATGTATTTGATTGTAGCTCCAAAATTCGTTGTCTCGTTTCGTTATCGTGGTCATCCAAAACAACTTTTCCCAGACTATCCGATAATGTTTCGGTTAACTTTGCTGTTGAATTTGAAATTCCATGTGTAACATTTTTCACAAGACTTTTGACTGAACCTTCAAAGATTAGTCCTGATACACCTTCTGACAGATCGTTTGCAAATCCTAGAGGATTTCCCAAGAAATCAACACTTCCCAATATTGAAGCTGCATGCCATTTAATTTGGTTTATATAGTGCATCTTTATCGCTCTCAGGTAAACATCCAATGTCTCAAAATGATACCTATGGGAAAAATTGTCAAGCTCTATCAAAGCATCTTCAAATTTTATTAACGTGAGGCCCAACGACTTTTTCGTGTATTTTAATTCCTCGGGTAACTTTGAAGAAGTAAACGCAGACAATCGAACCTGTGCAGAAAAGTATATTTTATAAGAAAAATAATAAAAGAAATCTTTTAAAATTTTATAGAAAGGAATTGATCCTGATCTAACCTGTGTAGGTCCAATTGTTAAGTTTTCAAAGTAGTATCTTTTCATATTATTCTCGAATGATCTGTCTTGATGATCTTCATAGTCACAAGGACGAAACGAGTTGTGTAGGTTTTCCTTGCCATATCCAAGAAATGAGGCTATTTTCAGTATAAGCTTTTCCTCTAAATACATAGTGCAGGGTTTCACATCCAGATTCACGTATTGAAAAATTAAAGCGTTCTTATTGGGACTGGGCAACATTTTAAGCGTAAATCGCACGGCATTTTGTACTGAGTCCTCCTTTGTTGATACAGTAACATGCAGGGTCACTTGGCTAGCGGAGTCTAATAATTGGTTGTCAATTTGAATGCTTGCTATATTTAGGTCTATTGACTTTTCCAACGAACTATCAATGAATTCCGCAACGATGTTGTCCAAACTAATAAATATGATCTCCTCGCAAGGTTTCAATGTAATTATAGAAATTCCAATTCCTTTGGGAAGATCGACATTTATCTGAAATTAACAAATATTCTTCTATTCAAATGCTCCACATACTTTATTTTTATTAATGTTCATTTAGTGTAGTTTTTATAAAAACTTACGTGATATTCGTGTGTGACTTGAGTTTTCGCTTTATCAACAATCTGTCTGTTGTTGAAGGATGCATGGGTCCAAAGTAGGTCGGGAGCCAGAAAAGTCTCATTTGGCTTCAGCTTTATATCACAAATTTGCACAGTCTTGATCGGTCCATCCAATTTGGTGGATATTTCCAATTGGCCAGAACCAGGCCTTAATTTTTGGGCAACGAGATGTTGTTCGCGTGGTGTTATATCCTTACATTTTGAATGATGTTTAAGGCGACCCACTACCGCCTCCGAACCAGACCTAAGACCATGTTTTCTAGAAGGAGACTAAGAGGAAAAAGATTTCGATTATGCTCAATGAACTTATAAATGAATTATAAAAGCTTTTCAGACATAATTTGTTACCTGAACACACATATTCGCGTGACACATAAGTCGACCATTTTCAAATCTCCAGGTTTGGGTTGTGGCCCTCTGTTTATTGGGCGTTCGTACTACGAGCGCAGTAAGATCCGTCGGATTCGGTGGTTTTTCTAAATCTAGGACCAACCGCACAGCACTAGCCTCATTCGTTTGTACTGGTGGTGTCGATCCTTCATGTTCCAATTGGCCATTGGAATTCATTAGCCACAATTGCGAGCGATCTCCAGAATTTTTTTCCATAATGATGACCCTTTTGTCTTGTACACCTAGGACTAGTTGCTTATATTTTTCGTCTGGCTTATCACCATCCCTTTTGTATTGATCGAAGGTGTCGTGAAACGCAATATAGATGAAGTTGGAGTATGTTAAGGTCTTACTGCTTGATACGTTAATTGGGTACTCAAGTATGTTTCCCCCAGGCGCTTCCATAAGCAATGTCTCTTTGCCCAAGGGATCATCCATAACATACGACAATGAAGACTGCGGCCGAACTGGTGTTGGCCAAATAGGTTTCGAGCCTTTTTGTGAAAAACTGATCACCACCTCCGAAAAGTTATCAATTCTAATTGGCGGTGGTAAGCTTCGAGCATCCGTAAACAAGAGAATAAACGTCGCCCCTCTGGATATTATCTCCAGTCTTAGGAAAAACATTTCGCACCATTCATTCCTAACGTTGATGTACAAACTCTGCACCTCGTTAATGGGTATGCCTTTCGACCAACAACAACATTCAACATCTGCGATTCGTACACAAACAAGCGGCTCTCGGTCCCCGTTGGTCCAATGAAATGGGAAATTGCAGTCAATAGGCGCCGAAATAACATTACGCAAATTGGTAACATCCTAAAAATAGACAGAAACAACTTTTGAATTTAGTACTCAATCTAGAACAGGAGTGCTCTAGTCGAGAGTGCCCGACTATGAGATACCCTGAAATCATTTGTTTTTAAGGGAGCGTGAGGTTCAATAAAATCTTATATACACAATTAATTATATAACTCTCGATAGATTCTAAGCTGTCATTGTTAGTACTTACATTATGAATAATATTACATTGTTGTGTAAATTCAAGCTGGTGACCGCTTTTATTGTACAGATGGAAGCGTGGTGACAATGTAACAAATGTGGTGCACGAATATAGACCCCTTCCGCGACGTACTCTAATACCAATTGTATAGCACCCGGGTCCGCTTTCCGTGCGCAATTCCCTGTATGTTATATTCTTGATCATGCTGAAACTTTTGCACCACTGAAAATATATAAAATATATATGTAGCAAAAAAGAGTTGGTTGCTTGGAGAACTCACCTGATTGTTGGCACCGAACGTGCTGCCCAGGCGCACTTCCAAGCTAGGTGATCCTTCTTGATCGGAAAATGAAAACATTAAGGGAGAAACTTGTCGTGCTGTTTCATGTTCATCAAATTGTCCAGCTGCAATCTTATTCGTTCCTTCTTGTTTATAAATCAATGGAAGACCAGTTTTATTTACAATCCAAATGGGCGCACTTATATATATTTCCATTCCTCTTCCTTTTAGGGATTGAATAGATATGTGCAGATGCAATTCTCTGTTTTTGGCGTCGATTAGTTTCAACTTCGGCTCGACAATACCAATATGATTCGCCGGAACCTTTAATTGGCCAGAGACATGAAAGTTGTCTAATGTGATGCTCAAGTTAAAGGATTCGTATATATTTCTATTATATATGTTCTTGCTCTCAAAGGCATTAATTCGTCCCGCATTGCATCCATTTATGTTGAAACTTAAATCACAGCAAAGCATATTCTTTAGCATCAGCGGCGATAGCAAAGTAATTGAGTGGCCCGGCATACTCTGATCTTTGTAGGGATATATTTCCCTACCTATGCTGACGAGTGTGTACAATACGCTTTTGTTGGCATCGTAGCAGATGTTTAGATTTTGTGAGCTATCCGTTTTGCAATCTTTCCACACTATTTCATCGTTGCTAAATCCAACATCGTCAATTTTGGATTTCGTAGATTCGCATGGTATATGTGAGATATATAACGAGGCGTCAATAAACTTCAGAGGCACGCATTGTTGATCATTCGGGCAGATGACGGTTATAGCAGAAACAGCATCTGGCTGATTTTTATTTAAAACCATCTTCAGATATATGTCGTGATCCAATTTGTTTATTACTCTCAATGGGGACATGACTTTGATAAGCTTTTGCGCAGAGCCCATAAGTGAGATATCAAATATGATTCGGGACTTTTTTTCAAAATGCGAATCCAAGATTGTTGTTCGAAAATACATGCCCACCTTGTCTATAGAAATTGGCCCAATCAAGGTCCAGCCATGAATTTGTACCAAAATTTGGTGAAGATTCAACAGATGCGAATCAATGTGCCGCAATTTACTCTTTTGACTGAAATCAAAGGTTTTTATTTCTTCAGGCTGCACAGAGGTCCAGTTTTTGATAATATCCAGCTGCTGAAAATCCGAGCAAGTCAAATCCCCGAGTTGAGCGTAAATTGGCTTAAAGAGTAGCGCAGAACCAGTTAGATTTTGAAGGGCAAATGGTACGAAGGGAGCTCGTTGTCGGAAATTTGAGTTTTTGGCGTTGTCGAGTGAATGGAAATCGCTCGTCCAATTTTTGGAAACCATGTGAAACAGCTCAATTAGTGTTGATGTGATATTAATCTTCAGTAGCTGCTTGCTGTTCAAAAAGATTTCGAATCGTTTCTTTTTATCGAAATGGGTCCTCTTATATTTCCACTTCACAGCACATTGCCAAAGTTCGGCAAGGGGCTCCCAGCCACTTAGTCTTCGATTGTAATAGTTGAGCGTAACTTCAGTATCCAGATCACCCTCAGCCGCATTTGAATTTAAGCTCTCGACTTCAATTACATTGGCATGGAATTTGTATTTGAGCAGAACCTTTGTTAGCGATACTTCAAGAAGGGGTACATCAGCATCCATGCAATCATCAATAACGCACATGGATATGCAATTAGCATCGAGAACTGCGGTCTTTAATTCCAATGCCGGATTCTTGACGGTGCTGCGCTTCTGCTGAGACAACCAAAGGGCCGCTTCATTAAGTTTCCAATTGTTTAGTTCCATTGCGATCCAGCAGTTGGTTATCTCAAATCCCATCGCAAGGAGCGGTGCAATTTTTTCAAATTCAGAATTCGATTTGGACAAAACATTCGGCGGAGTTGAGGTTTGTGAGGGTATTGAGCTGAGCATTCTTAAAAAGAGTTTCATATCGATGTAGGATAAACGTATATTCAATTGCTTTTGTACAACAATATTCAGGCAATTGTTTCTCAGCTCTACGTTCAGAGTGAACGGATCAATTATTGACAGCGCACTCTCATCCTCAGCGTCTAATATGCATGAAAATATTTCCAAATGATTTATATTTATGGACAGGGGTACACTGTGATTATGTGGCTTGTAAGAAATGACCGTTGTGCTCTTCAATATAATAGCATTTGAATCAAGTCGATTATACTGTTCCACTAATATAATCTCGGAGTCTGTTACGTTTATGATATATTCAGACAGGGAAGCATCTGCCGCTTGATCTATTTGCGAAAACTGGGTTGATTTTGGATTTACGGACAATGCTGTTAGCGGTTCTTCTTCGAAAAACTTCTTCAACCGTTCTAAAAAGTCTAAAATTCCTATTACTCTCATGTCGTTTAACATGACCGTATATTTGCATAAATTTAATCTTTTTCTGCAATGAATTTCAACCTGAGCTGAGTGCTTGGGAATTGTATCTTTCTTTGAGGGCTGTAATATGTTTCTGAACACATTGGCATTGTTAATACCATCGCTTGGTCTTTCGTCAACAATTAAAATATTGCTAGATATCAGATCTATATCTTGTGAGCCATCACTCAACATGTCAATTTCTAGTTGTGATCTTATAAAATGTATGCATGCTAGGGGCTCATGCACAAAATCTGGCATCGTATTTGTATTTTGAACTACCAGAATGGAAACATCTTCCAGAAGTATTCTAATAGAGAGCAAAGTTATAACATTTGTGGAGTCTTCATTTTTAGAAAACAAACTTAAAGCCGAAAATGCTTCAATTGATGAACTAGCATTACTAAAGCTATTGCAATAAACGTCGTCTATATGCTCTCCAATATTGTTATTTAACAGACCTCTAATTAATTTATAATTCTGAATATTGAGTGTTGCATTTAATTTGGAGAAAGTCCCTTTTACACTAATATCCGGACAGACGCGTATGGTATCTGTTGTTAGATTGCGTTCGACTTGAAGATCGAGATAGCAAGATTCTTTAAACAGTCGACTTCCCTTGACAAAGCTCGTATTAGCAATATTTATAAAAACTTCTTTGTCATAATTGCTTTCTAATTTATCTACACTACGTTCACCCGAGAACAAGTTTATGTTGACTAAATCGATGCGCATGACGTCCAAAATTTCATCCTGGCTTTTCACCGCTTTTCCCTTCTTGCTTATGATGCACTCATCACTCGAAAAATGAAAACTATTCTTCAGAGTAAATTGTCCCAGATAAGCAATTAGCACATGATTGCTATTGTAACAGGCGGGTAACACAATTACTGGGGAAGCGGCTTGAATGCAAAGTTTTATTTTAGTCGGCTGCAAGTTTTGAACCTTATCCACGTTATGCTTCTTCAGTTTTCTGATTACGGGCTGCAAATAAAAATGTATTCATACAAATGAGCAACATCTGGGTATGCCATTAACATAAATACCGTTTGTAATTGTAACAATTCCTTGATAAATAAGTGAAGTTCCACTATAAAGCGCTTGGTATGAATATAATGAACCGATGACATGTTAATCCATAGAACTGCATCCGCGTTAATGCTATTCGGTGTTTCAATATCCATTAGTTTTCTATAAATATAGAACAGTGAAATATTTATATGTTTATTTCAAGATATTAATAAGCTCTAAATTTTACTTATTTACCTTTTATAAACAAAATTTAAAGCCTCGGTGCCACTCGTAATAAAACGTTCTTTATATAGGTAACCAAATTTCGTAAGATCGTAGACAGTTATCGAGCCCAAACAACCTTCAATAGCTTTAAAGGTAGCTTCCTGAATTATGGAAAAAGTCGCATTGGATACATTTATTCTTGACAATACTGCTTCGTTACGAGTTGATGTAAAATTTAAAGACCTGATAGACACATTCAGTTTGCTGCTGAATTCATATACGCCTGGGAAATAAAGAAATCTTAATTTAATACGAATGCTTAAAAAATCGGAGGTGCACTTACTTTTTGGCAAACTATTTTTTTGTTCAGCTAAGGATTGTGTCTTTTCTGTATCGGCAGCTAGCCCAAAGAAGTCAAAGATCGTATACCATCTGTCAACGCAAATTGTCAAGTTCAGGCAGTTAAACTCAATGGAGTTTTGCTTTTCTGTTTTTGATTCGCCAGGTTCTTGAAACACACGTCTAGTATGCGATCTGTAGATGACTAAGTTGTTGCTTTTCCGATCGGTCATGTCATTTGATTTGTATAGACTAGTTTTATATTTTTTAGTTTCTTTAACTTTTTTATGTTCACATAGGTTGGTGATAGATGTGGATATTGTTTTGTGCTTGCTGTAAAAACTGGGCAAGTCCGGGCATGATGAAGACGTTCGAGGTTTCCGTTGATATGTTTTTTCAAGATTTATCGAAGTAACCATATTCCTAAATGGCGATGACATTTCCGATTTTAAATCTTCCATTAGCACGGAGTTCAAAACGATCTTCAGATCTTCATTCAGGCCGCTCATGCAATGCTTTACAAAAAAGTCCTTAAATGTAACATTTACCAAGGGCTCATGGCTTTCGTTTTGCAAATTTATTTCTAGCACAGGCACTGAGAACTTAATAGTTGTTCTGATTCGCTGTGCATCAGAAACATTTGCGTTCGTCACATTTGCATTTGTCATATTTAGTTTTACATTGCCCGACGAAACGCCATTTGAAAAGTTTGTAGCATTTTTAATAGACTCTATTATGTTCTTATATTGCTTTCGATAAAGTGTGACCTTTAGCGTTTCAACCATACTTCCTTCAACCTAAAAGAGACAAATTGTTAACTTATCTAAAATTTATTTGAGAAAATATATCAATTATAATAGTTGGGCAATAAATTATAAAAGGAAGTGAAGTGTAAAAATCACTCTCCACTTACCAAGAGTGTTTGAATTTGTCTTTCTCCGCCCTTTGTGTCGCCGTATCCTGTAAACACATTTAAGGATATTGCCGTGTCGTGCAATATGGGGAAGGCATCCTGTTTACATTCATACATTTTGCTAGCTATTGGAAGGGTGTAGCTCCAATCTTCCTTTTGCTCATCAATGTTTAATGAAAATAAATTTATATTTTTCACCTCAATAACATATTTTACAATTACATCCTCGTTTATATTTCCTATCTTTTGATGAATGTCATCGTTATTACGGCAACTAATTTTTCCCAAATTGGCAATGAAAACTTCTTTACTATCATTTGAAATGGGAAGAACGATTATGGGACTACTTATAATAACGTCAAGCCTAAAATGAAGAGTAATATAATATTACGTATTTATATAAAGTTAATATAAAGATAGAATTATTGAAGTTTGATAGCATAAAGATTAACAATCACTTACGATATTAATGAATTTTCTTGATTTCTATTTAGCTGGGGTGGTTTTGCCTGATTACTAACATCTTTTATTTGTTGCACAAATTCTTTGGCCATATCAGTTGCTTTGTTTCCGATTGAAGTTAAAAACTCTCTGAAAATAAAAATTATGTTATTAAAAAAAATTATGAAATTTATCGAGACATGTTGATTACTTACTTAAGACCCTGTTTAAAACTTGTAATACAAAAATTGAAATCTTGTAAAAATCTAGGGCTATGGGTATAAGAAACAGACGCCATTCGAACGTGTAGAGTGACTGCGTTTTTATCGCTCCACAGATTTGTGAAACTGAGGGCATCAATTTGTTCGTACTTTTCTTCTTCACTATTGTTTAAATATATTTCGTTCGAGAGTTTATTCAGCACTGATAGACGGTTCGTTTCTAACTCTGGATCTCTTCCAATGGACAGAATTCGTTGATAGCGTATGCCTTGCGGCGTAATATCGATGATTTGTATGCCTCCTAATGATCCAATAATTGACAAGCTCGATTGCATCGAAACATTTATCTTGGCTTCACTTATTGTGAGCGTACCTACTTTTCGGGCAATCTCATACTTATCTCGCTTTATCGTGTACAATATTAAAACATTTAACCGAAAAAAATCGAAGATAATTTCATGATGATTATTTTCAAGGGACCCCTCTGTTTCTTTTAGCTCCAATGCCGGCCCCGTATCACTCTCATCCCTAACTTTTTCGAAAAGCTTTTGACCACGGCAAATGCGTTCAGCAAAATTTAGAAGTTCGAGTATAGTTTCCTGGTTGGCTGAAAGTAAAAATATAAAAATTATTATAGTCAGCTAAGGGATTTTTCAGTAATGAATTGAAAATAACGTTAAAGATATATGTGTTTAGTACATACCAATTATTTCCAAACTATTAAATGAAATTTTTGACGTGTGTAGATAGGAGGACTTATCCGAATCGGATGCAATAATATTGATATCAATGTTAATCAGCGCATTTAATTCCGATTCATCACAGCGTTCGCCCGATGATCCTAAAAAAAATTATTTTTAAACGATACCAGCAATAAGTCGACTTAGGGAGACAATATCAAATAAAAATCTAATTTAAATATCGAATTTAAGTACCTCTTTGTATATTTTGGACTGCTTTTGTTATAATATGCGGACTTGTTGGCCTGTGATGGTCAGTTGAATCTGGGGATCCGGGTGTAACAGGTGAGCAAGCATTACTGTGTTTTAGGCTTCCAGAAAAGCTATCCATCCTGGAAATAAAAACTTGTATTTAATTCCAAATTCCAAGTCTGAACACCTGTTTAGGTATTGCCGGCGATGTGAATATATTGACGGCCGCATTAACACTGTTCACGACAAAGCCCCTAATAAGAACTGGAGCATAGTCTATGTCGGCGGCTACGACGATAACGGCGATGTCGGTACCAACGACGATATTGGCGACAATGGAGCAAAAATATTTATACTACAGATTGATAGTTTGTAACTCAGCTGTAACTGGATACTATAAGGTATCTAATAATATCAAATTTTCATTATTGTCAGCCGTAAATAACTATAGCTAGTTAGCTTTTTTCATCTCTTATAAACTCACCCAACATTTCGATGACTGGCCACCAATAGTTCAAAGTCTGGACCGAAAGACTGAATAGCATCTACTAGAAGTAATCCATGGACAGACATTGTAATCGTTGTTTCTTTTCCAGTGACCACTAAGCCTGCTCTAGCTCCAATGATTTGCAATTCGGCAATGCTCTTTTCCTTAGATTGCATTTCGATGATTAGTTGGCCTATGGCGAACTGCAAAACCAAATGGCTTTCATCAGCATTATAGTAGGGATGATTACTTTCATCTGTATGCTGTTTAATTTCAGTTTCGAATGTTGATTTTTTCTTTAGCCGTGGATTATTTGTAATTGGATAAACTATTTTTAAGAAATGTTTGATTTTTTCTTCATTGCCATGTATTAATATCATGGGGCACGTTCCGAATAGGGTGAGGGATGGATATTCCGGATCAGATGTAAACACAATACGTTGCTCGATGGTAAGCGTAATGTTGAATTTGTCAATTAGGTGAAAATTTGAGGAAGCCTTCAAGCTAGCTTGCCATCTTTCTTGGTATTTGCATACTAACACTTGCAAGTTCGTAAAATTTATTGTATACGTATTATAAATTTTACTATGCAAAGCAGATTCCAGTTGAGTGTTTTTATTTATGAGATCCCTATACAAGTTTTCTTGCATCGTAGGAGATTCTGAACCACTTTTTTCTGATCCAGGAGGAGTAGAGCATGGAGTCATATAGGTTTCATCTTCCTCGTTGTCATCGTTATCTGTGGTAGAAGTTTCATCTGCCTTTGAAATAAATGTTGAGGTTTTCTTTTGAAAATCTGATTTAACCAATTGAAATTTTCCAAAATCCATTAGAACCATCAACGAATTTTCAATCTTGTAGTTTTCCAAAAATATAATACGCGGTGCAAACACCTCAATTTCAAATGTCCATATTTTACGATTCGCCTAAAAGTGAGAGCAGAATGGATAGTTTATTATTTTGTTTACTTTTAAAATATTACTTAATAATAGAATATAGAGTTGTACTCTTTAATCTTACCTCATTGCCAAGGAAAATCTGGTTCCAGGAACTTAGAAATTTGCGTTCTTTTTCAATATTATAAGTATCCCTTATTAAATACTGCACTTTGTTAGATTTGGTAAAGAAATTTAAAAACCAATCGACAGCGTCTTGGTTATAAATCAAGTCCAAACTTTTCGATTTTATTATAAGTCGATATTGTAGATGATCATCATTTTCGTATTGCAAGTGAAATAATGGATCCTGTTTAGTTGTAGAATTTATGACATTTTTTAAATCCGGTTGGTTTATTGCTGTTGATCTATCAGTCTGTGGTTTGATCAAGTAACAATGCTTGGAATCCTTGTTGGTTTTATCTAATAAATAAACTTCTCCCAAGGATATTCCTACAACATAGGATGTAAATAAAGGATTTAATTGTAGAAAAGACGATAGGTTATTAAACTGCATTTCTATAGATTTTCCATCATCACTCTTTGTTGATTCCTCGGATTGTAAGATAATGAAACCCTTAAGAAGTTCAATAGTAAAATATCCAAAAATCGTATCGCACTTTAAGTGTGACTGACTTTGAAGCGAGTGTTCGAGTGCTACCAATATGTCGTCTTCTAAATTTTGTAGGGATTCATCCTGCTCTGCAGAGACTGTAGTACCGGTTCCATACCAGCCCATCCAGTTGGGGAACCAATGAAATAACATTCCTTTGCCTTTAACGTTGTCAGACTTAATAGAAATGCCTTTCGAGAACACTTTTTCAAAACATATTCTGCGCAATATGATTAAGTCGGCAACTCCTCTATCACTTTCAATATAAGCTTTAAATTCTTTGTCGTCGTTAGACAAATTTTCATTGGGATTTAGTATAACCGCCTGACAAATTCTCATATATCGAAGGTTTTCCTTCAGTGTTATAAACTTCTCGTCTTTCGTTTTAAGTTCGCGGCCATAGCAAACGAGAACATACTTCCACCACATTTTAGGATTATCCTTAATACTGATAATTGGTCTTTTTAATCGAAATTGACATATCTCCTTTATTTGTTGAATGCCAGCGAGTTTATCCTGTATTTCATCGTGCTGGGCCTGCAGAGTCACAAAACGTGTTGTAATTAAAGGAATGAATTTGCTTGATTTTACTTACTTTGGTTAAAACAATTATAACTTCAGGTACTAAAAGATCACAGGATACTCGTGGCTTGTCTTTTGAGCGGATCACTTGTGGAGATTTTTCACGTTTCCATCTAGCGATTGCACTGATTGGTTTGATTATAAATTCATGAGGTCGTGTTTGACACGTCGAATTCATGTTCAGTAGAAGTTCTTGGTTAGAAAACTTCTGACATTTGATATCTTCATGCAAAGTATCCCAGTAAAGGGACAGCTCTTTTAATTCAACGATTTTAAAATTAATATCATTGTTAATCGTTTTATTTGAACCAGTTACCCAGTTGCCATCACAGCTTTGTGCAGTCAGGGAGCCAATTTTAATGCCAGTGGCAATTTTGCTTTTACCCACATCTACGACGTCTTCGTAGCGAAAGTGAACATCGAATATTTTAAGTTCAATGTTGTCTATGATATTCGTTGCCATATTTGTGCCATATTTCAGCCAGTTATTATACGATGAGAAGTAATACGATTCTATTTGCTTTCCCTTTTCAGAGCGCCAGTTGGCTTCTGCAGTGTCTAACACCGATTGCTTATACTCCAAGTGGAGCAGTTTCTCTTTCACCTCATCCCAATTTTCAAAGTCCTTTGGACAAACGACGCAAAACAATCCTTCCACGGAAATACACCATGGAGATGTCCTGAACTGTCGAACCGGCACTTGCAGCTTAATCTTACGAATGCTGCCCGCTGACACTTCGATTGGCAAGCCAAATGAGCGCAACGCATCTTTTCGTATGGGAATGTTTTCAAGCTCGACTTCTCCTAAAATTGTGATAATAATTAGTTTATTTCGTAATTGTGTTAGATTGTATTTGTATACCTGATAACAGTGCAACAGACAGTTGAGCAGAGTTCAAATTTTCTAAATACTTCCCTAGATAGGTATTTAAGACCCACGTAATCAAATCTCTTAACATTATTGTGTTCTTAGAACATTACATGTGCATTCAATATTTAATATTTTTTAGCTTTATATTGATTGTACAGGTGTTCCGATATCAAAACAAACACACAATCTAATTTTGTAGACTTATAAAATACGAAAAAACATAACATATGAGTACGATAACAAAAAGTTGGTGTTGTAAACCAACCAAAAAAATACTGCATGAGAATGCAACACTTTTGGAACATAGAATATAAAAAACAAATGTTTCTGGTTGCTAACTTAATGTCTGATGAACATAAGGAAGCTTAACAAACATTATCTAATACATTTATTTATTTATTTATGTGTAGTTAAAATAAAAAGGAAATAAATCATGTCCATTCCCATCGTTCCATTAACAGTTGCATTGGAACGAAATTTTAGTTATTTGCTTTAAATTCTTTTACATTTGTCTGTCTTGATGGTATATCAATTTTTATTTGATGATTAAAGGGATTTTTATTTATCAACGTATGTTAAAAACTTAGTTTATGACAGAAAATTACAACTAATGATTGATGAAATAAATGGAATTCCGAACAAAAATAAGGGTATCGATAGATATCACCGATATCAACCGATAGCATCGCATAGCTGAACGCCCATCTCTTATAAATACACCGCCTCACATGTTTATATTATGATTCCAAGCCACAAAAACAAACAATATTCTTTAAAGTTTAATTCCTTTGCGTTGAGACATAAGTGATTAAAATGGAGGCAAAACGTTCTTCAGCCAAACCAAAACAAAATTTAGAGGCAAAACAAAACATTGTGACTAGTCTTAAAAAACATTGCTAATAATTTGTTCAATTGCAGGCATTGCTTAGATTGGCTGTGGAAAATTCCGGAAAAGATGAGGATGTGCCAAGCACAAACCCTGTTCAAACGGATGTTAAGGTAATCTTTGCCACCCGAGTATTCACATGCATGAAATTCTTGGCCTATTTCATTAAATATTTAATGTAATCACATGGCCGTACTTGTACATGCGCATAAATAATTGCTTGATGAGTAATGTGCTATTTTCAAGAGATTTAGTTAATATTGTTTTAATATCCCAATGTTTTTTTTAGCGAAATGATTTCCTTCAGAACGCTCTTAAAGCAATGACAGGCGATGATTTTGAAGCAGCTTTGCTAATTTTAAAAAGTCATTCGACCAGCCTTGATCAAAAATTGGATAGTTTGGATTTAATACGGGATAAGATTGATGACATTGATCTGGCCAACTCGTTTGTAAAAACCGGAGGCATAATTATCTTATTGCAGTATATCAGATCCCCAGATTATAATTTGCGACCGCAATCCATTTACATAGTGGCCGAAATGGCACAAAATAACGAATTTTGCCAGAATTATTTTTATAATGAGCGTATAATACCTGTACTTACCTCCACTATGAATGATGCCGATGAACATGTAGCTCGAGGATCTATTTTTGCTATATCATCATTGATACAAAACTTTCCACCTGGGCTGAATGAATATCTGCGCATAAATGGAGTTCAGCAGCTGGTGTCGTGCTTAAAATCTACCCATAAATCAGTCTACATAAAAGCGGCATTTCTTATAGGATCATTATCTTCTCGTGAGAGCTCAGTCAGAGGTAAATTTTATACACAGCGTTTGTTCATATATAACCTCCATTTTACTTAATATATTTGACTTAACCCACAGATCTTATTAACAAACACAACGCAGCCTCAATTTTGTTGAATAATCTGGAGAATAAAGATGAATATGACGACAAGCTTGATGCTACCTTAAACGCTCTTTCTGCTCTTTCCTCAAGTTGCAAATGGAGCAGTACTCAAAATCAAAATGCACAGGCCGAGACTATACTTAAGCAAATAGTTAGTAATAAAATCTTATTGGATACTTGCGAAGTAAGTACAAAACTAAGGTACTTAGTATTAGAGTAGAAACTAATACATTTATTTCAAGTTCAGAAGTTATTTGTGGTTTGTTTTATGCGTATCTTCATGTTTTATCTGATTCTTTTTTTTCAGGAGATGGTTAGCCTTGCGCAGAATATTTTGAAGAATATGACAAAAAAATAAATCAGGTAAGTCCATTTATAAATATAAAAGGGTTTCTCACCTTAAATAATTAATGTATCTCAGTCCTAGATTTTGAAGAAAAATTATTGGTTTTATACCATCCGCAAAAACTACAATCACAATTAAAGGAATCAACGTAATTGATGCTGTTTATCGCCAACTCTACTGCTTTTAAAACGGAAATAATATTTTGTTAAAAATCGTTAAAAAATATTAATAAATAGCTAAACAAATGTTCTAAACATAAATGTACATCTTTTTATTGACGATTGCATTTAGAATGCTTCAAATATTAATAAATTTGAACGAAAGATGAGCCTTTTCTTAAAGATATACATTTTTATAGATCCCCGATAAAATACTTCTCAGCTTGGCTGGCTTTCGTGAGTTCCTAAAAGGATCTGCTTCGTCACAATTAACACAAGATCAACATACCACATAAAAATAGGCAAGAAATTAAGAAAATGTAGACAGAGCACTTTATTTATACATTAGTCTTCCAAACAGCGGAATCTCCGAAAATGCAAAAACAAAATTTATACATCAAATGATTGCTTTTTACTTTGACTCGGGCAACTTTGTAAAATGTTTGGAGCTATTGTATTAGTTAGTGTATGAATTTAAATATTTACATATTTTAAGATTCACTTTGCAAATAAATTTGAATAACCAAACAGTTTTATGCTGGTAAAATATCAAAATCTTCCCCAACATAAACGATAGGTACGTGAGCCTTGTCTAAACTGGCCTCAAATATATAATCATACAATTTGTTTCGCTTCAAAGCTATATTCCAATCCATTACTTGTATTGCATGAAGACTTTCCGCTTCATTATGCTGCCGCAAAATCATAGATTCCTGAAAAACAAGTTAAAAATAGTATAAAATTCAATTTTTGATTTATGTATAATTTAACTGATCGTACCTTAATCTTTTCCCACTTGTCGTCCACATCTTGTAACCAGCTGAGCAACAATCGGCCATTAAAACGACAGCGTGCACTCTTCTCCTTTTCATCTTGCTCCGGGGTAATCATATTATAGATTTCATCATCTTTAAGAAATGTGCAAACGGAATATGGCGCACATTGCCCAGAGATACTCCTTGCAGCTTTTGAATGTACTCGGATAATTTCTTGTTCAACGCTTAAACATAGTTTTTCTCGTTCTACTATGTGCTCTTCGGTCAAGTCTCGCCTGGCTTTTTCTTGCTGCCGATACAAGCTTCGCATGCTCTCAGGAATGTCGTCCGGTACTTCTATTTCCGGCGTAGTTACATTCTTATTTAACAGATAAGTACGTTTGGTAAGGAGATAATCATTATAGCCCTGTGGTGGCCTGGGCTTAACGGGATACAGATTCTTCCATTTCCTTTCCACTTGCCTTCGAATATTTAAAAACATCTGAAATCCATTGGTAAAGGGATAATCATGTGGATGAGATTCTCCGGAAGCCATAGATGTATCAGCATGAGAATTTTTCGAGTTATCATCATTATTTTTGGGCCTTATTTTACGCTTCCGCGGATGCAGGTCAACATTTGAAGATGAGATTATTTCTTTAGACGATGACGTTGATGAAGTTGAAGGGCTCGGCACATTTGGTAAAACTTCGTGATCGAATTGATTATGTTGTATGGGACTCGCCGTCATATTGGTGTAAGATCCCTTGATATCAGCATTGTCATTGGCATGGTTCGACGACGCTGGTGATGGCGAGCTGCTTTGCATTTGCGGGGAGGAGTTGTTAGAGCTGCGTTCAGCGCTGGTAACACCACTTCGATAAGAGCTGCGCAGGACCCTTAGATTTTTTTCATCGTTAAACAATTTGATATTCTTATCATCAAGAATTGTTGAGCAGGCAATATTGACTTTCTGTGGACTTTCATGTGGACTCAGACATTGGTTTGACAATACAGTATCAATCGAGTCACTATTAGAACTGACAACATAAGGCAAGGCTGCATTTCGGGATGCTGCTACTTTGCCAGTTCGTAAAACATTACCATCTGTGTCAATCGAGCAATTCTGCTGGGGAATTACAATTTTCAATGGTGGCACTTTTAAGGCACCATTATATGAGCTATCATTGCTCTTATAGTCCTCACTGCCCTCCGTTTCATTTTCAATGTCAACAGTCTTGGTTGCTTCCAGCTCTTTATCAACAACTGTCGTGCTTATTTTACTACCTGAAGGCGAGTTTTTTGTAGATGCTAGCTTCGAGTTTTTCTCCAGCTTAGAAGATACTTTAAGAGAGGTAGTTTTTAAATCTTTTGTATTATCCAAATCTTTTCGTTTCTTCTTCTTTAAGTCGTCCCCATGCTCTTCAGGGTCTTCCTCAACATCCGAATAGCTGCGCTTTGTGCTTGTGACGCTTTGCGCTATATTTTGTTCAGCATTTTTACCATCCGTAGTAGATTCCTCTGTTGATGGCTTCTCCTTGGTATCAATAACTTCTATCTGCTTTTCCGTAGCACTGACTTCTTCAACATCTGCATCACCCTTTTTATCATTTTTCTTTGAATGCGTTCGAGTTGTCTCTAAAAAAAATAATAAAATACGCCATTAAATACATTAATGTTTGCACAGATTTTGATTTTCTTACGATTATAAATAACAATGAAACACTATGATTATTTTTTATTACCGTCTTCAGTCCAGTGGTTACATTTTGGGTGATTTTGATATTCCGCACACAAACATCATTTCTTCCTATTGTTCCTATGATACATTTATGATTTATATTTTAATTAAATTCTATACGCACAATTTTTCATATGGTTGACAACTATTCTTAATCCTTACTCAATGAAATAATATATTTCACATTTTGTGACAACTCAGCCTTTTCCAAGCCATATTAATACCCCATTCCCCGACACAACAAATTTCTATGAGGGCGTAATTTGTACACTGCTTGCAAATACATACACACGTATGTATGTGCATTCATTCATATGACGGAACATGCATAGAACTTATATTTGTATGTGTGCACGTTTGTATATGTGCATGCATTTATGCACAAAATTGGAAGTAACTTATTAAGGCGTTATCTATAAAGCACTCGTGTAATAGAAAAGTCCCTAGAGCTAATGAACGAAAAATGAGATCACTCCAAATTTTTCCTACACACATACACGCACAAGCACACCTATGCATGTGATTATATGAACCTATTTAGTTATTAGTTTTAAAAGTGTATTACGCCCACATGTTTGGTAGCTCCGTGCAACTTTAAGGATTTGTTGTATGTATACGGTATTGTATGTATGCACGCAATTACAAACGTACAGATTTACATAAGTATGCACATATAAACATAGATTTGTATGTTTGGCTTACCTGTTGAGGACGTTGCTGTCATTTGGATTAATAAAGCCATTTGTTGTCTCTCCGACATGGGGGTATTTGAGCTGGGTCTAGCTGGTGTGACCCCTGTAGTAAATCCTATCCCCTTTGGTCTTGGGGGTGGCATAATACCCAAATTCAACAGCAAACACGAAAACTTAAAATGTTGAACAAAAACAAGAACTCAGACTGAATAGCAGTGTGACCGTAAACTGAAAGTGTGAAAATACCTAACCACTAAAACTATCGAACACATAAAATGCATATCATTTAATTCAGAGTGGCATTTTCCGATAAAAAAGAAAAGTTTTTGCGATATTCAAACGGGGTCTAATTTATATGTTCGCGTTTCTTTTTCTTTTGAATGTTTCACCCTACTTTTTTAATCGCTATTTATTTAGTTTAATACATTACCTAATTTACCGAAGTCAACATTCTCTTAACTGAGCTTCATCCAATGTTGTGAACCCACTTTAAAATTAGCCCAACGCAACTGCTCAAATAGGATATACGAGATTTACAATATGTATATACTGTATTACTTATTAAAACCTTCTCGATAGTGAAATTTGTAATCAAAACGTCACTTTGTAGAATGTAAGTTTTATTTTCACGTTTGTTTTGAGTGGGCAACACCAAATGCTTATCATAGAATAGAATTTTTTTCAAAAAGTGCCCTCATGTTATTTGTACCGGGCGCTTGTAATTATTTTTCATACATAGGTTATCTTTTTTTATTTTCTGTACTTTATACTTAACGTCTGGCTGGTGCCCTGCCTCGTCCACGTCCTCGTGGACCACCACGTCCACGGCTGCCTCTGCCTCTTCCACGATTTCCAACACGCCCGCTGTCCTTTTTCTTGGATTTTGACTTTGGAGTATCGTCTATAAGCAAAGTTTCCAGTGGCAGACTGTCCGGTAATATAAAGTATCGTATATTGTTGCCACGAATGCTTAAGGATTCCAAGTGCACTGGATCTCTATTTTTGATGGTCATTTTAACACTTTTGAGATGTGTATTCATGGCTACGTCTACTCCAGTAATTGTTCCATGGATTTGAGTTCCATTTTTTAATTCGACTGTTACAGTTTCGTGACTGAGTTTCATCAGAAATCTAGAAAAAATGTGAAAACATGTAAATAATTGCAATTGTTTGGGAGTTGTTTGATTTGGGCTAAAGATATGCATATAAAACTATATTGTTTGGGAAATTTATTTGGTCGCAGAGCACAGCAAAAGTAGCATTTATTATAGTCTATACGAAGATATTTTAATATTGATGCAATTTATATATGATTCTACAAGTATCAACCTTTAAATTTGGCGCTTAAAATAAAACACGAGACGCATACGTACATACAAACACGCGCTAATATTTAATAGAGCTCGGTCGCATTTGTCGACTGTGGCCAGCATTTGTGGTGCATCATCATAGTACATACGTAGACATAACTCATATAAAATCATAATTCGTAAATATTTTGATTTTAAATATAATATTCCGGTAGACTTAAGCATACGTATAACTGCACATGCCTATTTGTATTCACATATGTATGTATGTAAAATGAAGCAACCATGTTTATGTATGAAACAATATAGTTATATGTAATTAACAGATTTCGCATACCTCACCAATTTCATTTTGAAATATTTGAATATCAATACACGCTTACGAATATATTGTTATTGGTTTTAAAAAAATTGACACTACTATTTGCCAAATATATGATAAATACAAGCCGAGCTGCACCGGCAATAAAAAAATGATTAAAATATCGAAGCCGGTGCTATCGATATTACATTGCAACACTGCCTTGTGAAGTCACGATAGCGCCACCTTTGTGCATATTGCCAGTCCTTGAGTATTTTAAAAATGATTACAATTATCAGAAAAGTAGCTATTACAATAGATAAGGCATTTGGCCCTTAATTTTATTTCCTATTAATATATTATCTGTCATCCCTGTAAATTTTGTATAGAAAATCAGCTGCTAAAAATGTATTGTTTTCATTGGTTTTCATAAATAAAAATTTGTTTTCAATTTAGGAAAAGAGACAGAATAATCAATAATTTTAGGACGATTTATTTTATACAATTGAAAGTAGTCAATTAAAGTTGAAGAATAATTTGCCTATTATGTTGCATTCTCTCATGTTCCAAAATCGTAGCTGGCTCTGCTTGGTTTTAGGGTGTGATAGATAACTTCTTAGAATACTTTTTTTCAACTGTTTTTCAACACTACATCGCCTGTGCCAAAAAGAACCCAGCCAGTATTAACTGAACTAGCAGCATAAATAATTTTGTAATAATGTGGCTATAAAAGTGCACAGAAGTGAAGTTGATATAAAAGGAGAGGGACTACCTTGTGCCCTTTGAAATACTCAAAAGGATCCACATAGTTATAAGGCGATGGCGTGTTTTTACGAACACCGAATAGATGCTTATGTGATACTTATACTTTTCTTATTTACTAACTTATTTGCGCAAGGATATAGCAGAGGTAAAAATTAAATAAAAACCTTTGACAAACATAACTATTCTATGACATCTCAAGTGAATCATTTAGTTTGTGTTCTGGCATTTGATTGTATTTGTGTTTTGTTTTGTGTGCAATATATACAAATGCCTGAATACAAGTGTATACACCCTTATATATACATACATACATATTTTTTGCGTATGTATGTGTACATGCCGCTTACTAAACGTGCAAAACTTGATATATGTATATATAAATACATGCTACCTTTTAACTTTAATAAATGCAAAATATATTTCAATCGTCGACAGCACAGAGTTTATCATAAATTATGAATGTCTGTGCATCAGCTATGCAAATGTTTGCCAGGACCAATCCCAGACAAAAGCAACATCACAAAAACTCAATTCTCATACTCATAATTATAATTAAAAGCTACCATGGTTCAGAGTTATACAAAGAAATTGATTTCGATGTTTTGCTTCTTTTAAATTACTTGTGATTAAGAAAATAGTATATAACTCTTTAAAAATGCAACAAAGAACACTTGATTTAGTGATGAGAAGTACAAATTCATCAATTGGAAGATAATTTAAAAGTTATGAAGCTTAAGCTCAAGCCAATATCATTTAACATGACATCATCTGTACACTCACTGCAATGAAACTATTTTCTATTGTCGGGCGTAGCCCTCTGTCTACGCCTTATCATTTGAAAGTTTTTATTTTTAATAGAGTATCCAATATATTATTTTGAAAATTATTGTCTAAAGCATTAACACTCTTACCTTTCCATTTTAGAATGGGTTGAAGTTGGAAGGAACTCGTCCTTGGAATGTGCATCTGACCACGAACCAGCGATTTGGATATTTAATAATGATACCAATTATAAATTTGATAACAGGTACGTATATCAATTAGCAGGGTTCTGCTCGGGTCTTGGAAGAGGGAAGATGGTCGCATTTTCTCAGCTGTCCTTAAATAGAAGTTATTTCGGATTCAATGATTAATTCGAATAAATCTAATTATTTAGGTTCTTTTTTTGCAAATGAAGAAATTGCACAATAAACAATGATGTAACAATTTAATTCTTTTTAATTTGATCTTTGATGTATTAAAGTTCTTAAAATTATTATTTACAGATTTACAACAACTGCTAACATTATAAATCCAGAGGACAATGACAATGAAAACATAAGTAATGATGTTAAAAAGTATAAAAATATACTTTACATACATGACGTTAAGATATCGGACAGTGGGAATTATACATGCAAAAATCCTCAAACCAACGCTTCAGTGGAATTTAATATACAGCCATTCCTCCAACCGAAGATTATTGAAAGCACTGTTGAAAATATAAAGCGAAAAATTAAACAAAGTGCCATTATTTATTGTGTTTTCGAAATTTACCCACAAAACACGTCGACAAACAAACAGCTTAAATGGCTTAAAGATGGTAGCCCTGTGGCTTTCATAGATGACTATACCTCAGTCCATCGGCTGAGCGATACACAATTGAACTTTACATTGGAATTTACAGAGTTGTATAAAAAGGAAAATGGTACTTATAAATGTGTTTTATATGGCGACAACGAGGCTGAGATCATTTCCAAAGAAATAACATTGCTTGTAATGGAAGTGCCACAGATCAGCATTGATTATGCGAAAGCTGTTGGTGCAAGCAAAATATACTTAAATTGGACGGTAAATGATGGAAACGATCCCATTCAAAAATACTTTATTCAGTATTCACAAGAAGGATCGCCCACATTCAAGTATTACAAAGATATCATAAATGGCAACAATACATCATGTGTCCTCGATTCGTTCAGTCCCAATACAACCTATCATCTACGCATCACAGGAAAAAATTCCATTGGCAATGGTTCGCCGTATCAGTATCCATTCGGTGTTACTACCTTGGATTATGATCCAACTTTTATACCAAAAGTCGAAACTACTGGGAGCACAGCATCGACCATTACGATTGGATGGAGTCCACCCTCCCAAGAGTTAATTGAGTATATTCAATACTATGAATTGACTGTCTCCGAGTCTGGGGATGTGCCGAAATTAATTGAGAAGGCCATTTATCAACAAAATTCTAGAAATTTGCCATATATGTTTGATAAATTAAAGACAGCTACGGACTATGAATTTCAAGTACGGGCATGCAGTGATCTTACAAAAACATGCGGCCCATGGTCGGAAAAGGTGAATGGTACCACAATGGATGGCGTCTCAACGAAACCAACCAATTTGAAAATCCATTGCAATCAACAAAACATTTCCAGGCTCAACTCAATCTCCATTAGCTGGAATGTACCTCAAACGCCAAATGGAAAAATAATTTCATACCTAATTATCCTGGAAGGAAATTACACATACTATAATCAAGAGGGTATGATATTAACAGAGAAATGGGGGCCTAAAATACGACGCGTTGATGAGCCCAGTCACAAAACGATTTATGAAGGCGTAAGTCCAAATACAAACTATACTGTTACAGTCTCTGCAATTACGAGGCATAAGAAAAATGGTGAGGCTGCGGTTACGAATTGCTTTATGCCGATTTCAACTCCCGAAACTATTGGCAAAACAATGTGGACGAAAGTTAAAAACGGCCCAAAATATGTGCTAAAATTATACTTGCCCAAAATAAGCGAAAGAAATGGACCTATATGTTGCTATCGACTTTATCTTGTCAAAATAATAAATGGAAACAACGAACTACCCACTCCGGATAAATTAGATGTTGCTACATATAATGAAATGCATAATAATAGTAATATTAAAACCAATAATTATGCATATATAGCTGAAATGCTTAGTAATCGGTACTTTAAATCGGAAATATTTTTGGGAGACGAAATGCGATTCATTAACAAGCAGGAAGATCTAATCGACAATGATAAAATATGTCGTAAATGCTTGGAGGGCGCGCCCTTTTTAAGAAAACAGGAAAGTGCCTTAAAAATAGGTAAGCATGTATTTTTAACGCTATCTTCTATAGATATTGTTTTTGATTCTTTTTCGCTTGAGAGTTTTTACAATATAACATTTCAATTAAAATTGTTTTATTTGTAGATTCCGCCCTGACTCCAGCACAAATTCAAAAAGAACAACTAAAAGTTGGGAATTTGACAGACCATGCTTTACAAGTTTTAGAAAGTAGAATGAGAATAAGACGAAATCCCACTGTTGGCATTGAAAAGGAACAAACAAATATTAGCAATCCGAATAATATCGGAGATATATATGATGGCGAAATTGACATTAATGCTAATTATACTGGTTTCCTTGAGATTATTGGTAAGTGACGTATAAAAATACACAAGTGACGGGAATATTAAGAATTAAAATTCTGTATTATGCAGTTCGATCCGGAAGTACGGTTCTTATGGCGTATAGTGATTACTTTGATGTCATTACACCTGCAACTGAGGCTGAGCAAATACAATCCCTGGATGATACGAAGTTTTATTTGAATATCGGCATAAAAGCAGTTGCTATTGCAATTGGATTTATTGTCATTTTTATAATATTTTGGATAATTCACCATCAAAAGACAAAGAATGCAATGCCTGACGAGGATACATTAACTCTAAGAGATTCGTTAAGGTATTTATGATTGCCTTAACTGTAGAAATATGATCTTGATTACTTAATATTTGTATAATTGCAGAACCCTCTTTAGGCGTCGAATCAACAATCATAGTCAGTTTATAGGATCCGGAAATCAGAAAGGTTTTGATACGGGACCTATTCATAAGACAGATTTAGTTAGTGCCTATAAAAACCGTCATAAGGATACGGATTATGGATTTCTACGGGAATATGAAATGCTTCCTAATCGCTTTACTGATCGGACTACCAAAAATAGTGACATGAAAGAAAATGCTTGCAAGAATAGATATCCGGATATAAAAGCTTATGACCAGACTAGAGTCAAATTATCGCCAATTAATGGAAACCAATGTACTGATTATATTAACGCCAACTTTGTCATTGGATATAAAGAAAGGAAGAAATTTATATGCGCACAGGGTCCCATGGAAACAACAATAAACGATTTTTGGCGAATGATATGGGAACAACATTTAGAGATCATTGTAATGCTGACAAATCTGGAGGAATATAATAAGTCCAAATGCGCGAAATATTGGCCAGAAAAGGTCTTTGACTCCAAACAGTTTGGGGATATTTCAGTTAAATTTACCGCAGAACGAAAAACTGGCGACTATATTATACGGTCCCTAGATGTAACAA